GGGCTTCGTGTGCTCGTGTCATCAGCGCCTAAATACTCCATAGTCTTGAATGATCCGAGCCCACGTCCACGTCCATTAGCACGGCCCTGCGCTTCGGGAGCTAAATACTATGCACACGACGGGATTCGCGCTTTCATCTTCTAGAAGTCTCTTATAGAAGCTCTAGGTAATCAGACGACTTCTGTCATTCGTTTGACTTTGTGTTCTCCCGTATTTGAACTTGGCAATGCTGGGCGATGGCTGGGCGGTGGAAATTGCCACGTGACGTGTGTCTTGGAGAACATTCAAGTAGATTCCTGGGGAATTGAAGTTGTGTTTATGATTTTAAGACGAAGTGTAAATCGTTCTACTTCCAAACTTTGAAGTAGTGTGTTGTTCAAGCTTCATACAACTGTTGGCTTCGGATATGTTGTGAAATATGGCTGACGCGTGTCGTGAAAGTGTGCTTTAGCCCGACTGATTGGGAAAATCTCAACTGGTGCCCGTCGACCCATTTCAATGATTTTGGTTCCGATCAAACGAGGTTATATTGGAGGGATATATCACCCACAACGTCAACGGTTGGTATCACCGTAGACGCGTTAGTGACACAACCGTCGTACGATGATACACATCGCGGCAATTCTGTCAAACAGGACACGAAAGATCATTCTGACGTAGAGAAGCAGAAGCTAATAAATAAATAGTGTATTCTTGGTATCGTAATGTAGAAGCAATTAGATATCCTAGTGCTGGTATAAAGAAGTATGAAGAATAATCAGTCTTCATGCGCTTTTGAAAATCCCCACCCATGGTCTATTTCCCCCAGAAAGAAATCCTGCGATCGTTCAAGTTTCGCTCGGGAAGGGCTTTCTACCCCATACAACATAACTACAAAGATTAGCATGGCATGATTCATGTGAAGATCAGAACTTACATGGGAATATATGCGTGAATATTCCTGTCCCTTCCAGATTTCTTCGCATTGAGAAGTAATTCCTTGACCTCTGCCTCATCCATATTCGACCCCTCTACTACAGTCCGCGTGGTTGAATACAACCATCGTTTTATGTCCTTTTGCATCATTGCACCGATTTTCTTCTCTTTTGCTCCCATCGCCCAATCATTTATCGGATTGTGGTAGATTGTCTCTGTTACCTCTTCGAACCCAATATCTTCTAACCATTCCATGTATTTTGGGATATTAGTCCAAGGTCTACTGCCAGCCTCGCCTGCTTCAACGCATGCTTGGAACCATTTGGCAATTCCACTGCTTTCCATTGAGTCGTCAATAGCAGCTGGCGGGAGTTTCGCATCGAGAATCTGGAAATACCCGCCAGGCTCAAGAGCATTGTAAGCCGATCTGAAGACCTCTTTCTGGTCACTGAAACACATCATCAGATCACGCATGTGGACGAAATCAAATTTGTGTGGAAAGTCCCATGTTTCCTCGGCATCAGCAACAATAAATTTGCAGTTTTCGGGTGTACTGTTAAGTACTTAGCCAAAGCTCACTAGTATTGAAGAATGAGCTTACCTTTCACGTTTCGAAGGGCTAAGGTCGGTTCCAATGACTTGCGTATTTGGGTACTCAGTAGCTGTTCTGGTTAGGTTTGCACTCTGACAATGAAGCTTGATATTACTTACCAAATTCAACTGCCCATATCCCATGTCCAGTCCCAACACTAAATAGAAGTTAGTAACTGTAATTCATAGTCTTAGGATGAAGGATCCTCCAATGATGTGTCTTTGTGTAGCAAGACACAATATAAGGCTGAGTGGTGGGGATCACGGGATTAAAAAATGATGAGCTTTACTGACTCTAGGACATGCTTCACCTCTTCTGGATTTAAAGGTGGCAAGTATATTCTTTCATCCATCATAACTTTCAGCATCTGGTGCTGAAGATCTAGTCAAAGTGAGCTGCTGTACAACGAACCAAAGAATCATCCAAGATCAGAATGTACTAACCTAATCTATCTTGTTCGAACTAGCAAAGTACATCTTTCAGCCAGGGCATTTTTCGAGTTGGAGCACAACTCTTACCTTATCGATAGGTAATTTATATTCTACGAGGGTCAAGTAATATCCTGCATCGTGCTATGTGCGGAGAATGAGACAGAGGACTTACTTGTATCTTTATCCTCGTGAAATGTTCTCGTCGTTTCCGGGCCATATTCTTCTTCACTATCGGAGTAATATGTATCGGCAACCTTGAAAGCATTAGTACGTCCTGCATATATTATGTAGTTGAATAAATCCAGAGGCCACGAACTGCGGGATCAACTTCTAGCTCAACGGCCGTCGTTTCTGTAACCACAATATCAAACCCGAACATGATGGCGAATCTTGTATATATTTTGTATTAATGACTAAAACGGCGTGCAGAAGTAACTTTTTCGAGGGAGCACTTGATATGTATGAATGATATTGTGGATGCAAGAGTTTAAGAAGTTAACGATGTTTATCAAAGGTGGGATTTCAAGCCAATTTTCCAACGATTGGAGCAAGCGATGAAGATCCCCCAAATGAAAATATCGAATTCTAATTTCTCTTACTCCCACTTTGCACACGCAACAGAAATAGAGTTTGAAGGTTTTGTGGTTCTGGAACGCTACCGATAAAAATATGTAAGATTGGCAACGGTACTGACCACTGTTCGCAATGCAAATAAGATCGAACATCGGTACTGCACAGTATTTCAATCAATATTTGTGCCGCCTATGAAGAGACGTAACTTCCCGTAACCCTGGTTCCGGGGATGTATTTCCTTGTGCCCCATGGATCAAATTCGGTACTTGGCGTGGGCACATCGGACGCTCGACTCAAAATGATCAAATTTTTCATCTGATAGATTCGTTGTTTGAACTTCTGGGGATATAAACTAGTCATGTATAGACAGTCCAGATACATTACTGGCCCAAGTAGTTGCTCGTAACCGATCAGATTGTAGCCTTGGAAATTGTTTGGCGATGAGTTGCGATACTGTACCGGTATGTAAATTCATAGCACGCACACTCACACTATGTCAGTTGTGGGGGCTCGAAGTTCTAATGCTCCGTACATGTCGTGAAACTTGTACGTGTAAGTGACTTGAGTTAGGCATCTAAAAGCGGAATCTATTATATCTCATCTAACAAAGACATATAGCTAATGCTATGGCTAATGCAATGAAGCAGAACTCGATCAGCCATGCTCGCCATGCTCAAAGTGTATGTATATATACGAAGCAGAACGATGGAGGCTCTAATAAATCTTGCATGTCGTCGAGTATATGCAGCATTGCAGCCTCCAACTATCTAACTCTACTCGAGTAGGACCACCCAGTCAGATAAGGCTCATTAGGGGCTTTAATCGCTAGACCTTCCTTCTAACTAATCGTAGATGCATATGAATCACCAGAACCAACCTAAAAATTTAATTGCTGTCAATTTCATTTCATTTATCTAATCGCATTGATCGCATTAAAATCGTCTAATCCACTATGGTTAACTCAATGAAGGTTAAACTAATCTATCGGATTACGGTACGATGAAATTCTTCCAGAAGCTACGGAGTATACCCATCATAAAAACTGTTAATAAAGAATGAAAGCGTGAATAAAACGTTCGTTCTTTCTTCATCTCCCAACACGAGTGATATTCTACACAAAATCCATCATCTCATGTTCCAGTCGGAAACCGTTAGAATTCGATTCGAGCCCTGATTGTAAGCAGGACCGTCAGCTTCGATCAATCAATGTACGGTAAAGCGCCACCATGTTGATTGCTTCCCGTCTTGCATTCCTTGAGTTCGCCTCATTCTCAATCAGTATGAATAACTTCACTCACAACCACGTATGTGGACAATACCATCGACTGTTTAATTGAATCTTGGCAACAAGGAAAATGACAGGATGGATGCTTCCATGTATAGGTCTTTGACGATTGATGAATATCAAATACGAGTCGTACACCTCCTTCCAAAATTTCGCATTGAATCAGATCGTACCTTAAACGTGCATATTGAATGCGAATTGAGATGTGTAAGTTTTACTGACAGGCCTCAGTATGAAGCTTTGTCGTATCAATGGGGTTCACCACGAGATCGCCAGATGATCTTTATTAATGGGCAGAAATGTCTAGTTCGAGTCAATCTTTGGTCCGCACTCAATCAATTAAGGAACGAACATACAGAACGGATCCTTTGGCTAGACGCACTCTGTATCAATCAATGTGATACATTTGAGCGAAACCATCAAGTGGGGCAGATGAGCAAGATTTATGAACGAGCGACAAGAGTGATTTGCTGGATAGGCGTTGATGAAGGGGTAGAGTTTTCTTCCGCTCACAATGTCCATACGACGGAATTCGTTCCATCCATCGCGATCAGGACTCCTCAAGCTCTCAGTCGGTCAGGTAGACGATCAGACCAAAAATTACCTACCACAGGACTAGCCTATTCGCTCTTGCCTTCAAGCCCAAGTCGCTCCCTGGAATCATTATGTCGATTGTTCTATCGCCCATACTGGAAACGACTTTGGATCATCCAAGAATTAACCCTGGCCAAAGAAATATTGGTTCAGTGCGGTGAATATAGTTTTGAGTGGAAAGATCTCGCTCGATGTTGTGATAATCTAGAGCAAATCTCTGAACATTGGTTGAATATCCGAGACAAGAAAATATACAGATTGGTCTGTAAGATCAAGGATAGCATCCCACGCCGGTTGCACCGGCAAAGGAAGGAGAGACAAACGCACGGGGAACAAGCACATCCACTTCTTGAGCTTCTCTTTACACAGCGAAGCACAATGCGAAGATATTCGTGATAAAGTTTTCGGACTACATAGTCTTGCCCATGACTGCTGTAAACGAGAAATACCTGTCGACTATGGAATCTCGATCCTGGAGATATGCTCAAGGATTCTGAACCATCATTTTTCCGAGCATCAGTCACCGCTATTTTACACAGCTAGGCATACGGCCGCGGCGATACATAGGCTTCTAAAGGCGCCAAAACCAGATGAATATTTGCAACGGAAAATGCTAAATTCCACAGCCAAAGCCACACTGAAATTCAACGGCACTCTAGAAGGTACCATCTCATGGTTGAGCCCTGCATCTGACGATCTACCACTCACAGAATGGGTCCTACCTCATCAAGGCCACGAAACGATTATTGCAGAAGTCGCTCAAATCCATGAAAAAATGAACGAATTCGGATTCACAAAAAATCTTGACACATACCGGCTCTCCCACATCGGCCATGCCAAATATAGCCGCGCAATTCCAAAGGGTAATTCATATATCGAACTAGACTCGCCCATCACAAACAACATTTCCAGCCCAAGCGACAAACCATCTTCAAGTTCTTCCAACCTTGGAAACAAACTTTTAGGTTTCGCAAGTAGCAAAGTACAGCAAGCGATCAAGTGGCGCGATCTCGATATCATGTTTCGTAAAGGTCTCGATTGGACTCCAATTATTGGAGGAACAGGTAGTAAAAATCGCGTGCGCATATCTATTTCGAGTGAAAATTTACTGCATTATGTGCCGGATAATGCAACCACGGGTGATCTGATGTATCAAATTGATGATAGTGATACGATACTAATATTGAGATGGGATGCTAGTGGAAAGGAGGGAAATGGTAGGTATGTGGTTGTGGGAAGGGCAAGCGAGGTACCGCATGCGGGGAGGAGGGAACAGGAAATCTCGAGGTATGGAGCGAGGGAAAGGGTTAGAGTTTGGTTGGATGCTCCGACATTGCAATTGTTGAGTTAGGAGGAGGGCTAGTTTTTGAGAAATTTGCTTTGGGGATTGGCTCGAGATATTCGATTCCTGGATGTCAGCAGGATATTGCTATATGTACTCTAATGATTGATGAAATAAGGCTTGGACACAAAGGAGGATGGGGAAAGTGTTAGTGCACCAATGAAAATGGGAAACGGTGTTTACATCAGTGTGAAAGTGATAAAGTCAAGAAATAAGAATATGCTATAAACTTCGACTCTACGTATAACACATTACTCGTCGTAATTTACCAATAACACACCTACACTACTAAGACACTATACCTAAGTATCATCGATATCCAAATCTCACATCTCATCCCAACCCAACACTCTCAAAACGTTACCCCCCACCACCACCAACAACAACAGGCTACAAAAACAAAGATCAAGACCATCAAAAGATAAAAACACCCACAATCTCACACATAAATATCCCAACATTTACCCACTAACTATACCAAGCAACTTGAATCTAGAAAAGATAACCCAAATAGATACCTGCAGTTCGAATTGGACTATTAGAGTATCGGATTAGTATTCCGTGTTCAGACGAAATATCGTTGGCTACCTGACATAACATAAAATAACATAACATAACATACAGTTTGTTGATATACTAACACTGCTTATCTGAAAAGATTAGGAATATGTATATCTAGAGGAGGGAAAGAGAGTGAAATAAAATACATATCTCTTTCTCTCTCTCTTCTACATACGCAAACCCTCCAAAGAACTATGACCACCCCCTACACCCTCCACACTCTCAAAACCGCGCACCCCTTTCCCCTCATAACAATACAGAAGCAATCCTTCTCCATCCCACCAAGCATCATCCTCCAACTCTTCTACGCTCCTCTTACCCCCACTCCCCTCGCCCGCCGCGACGCCATCAATCAACGCATTCACATCTCGATCATGGGTGCGTCACTCGCTCGACCAATACAGTCACTGGGTATACGTAACAGAGCCCAAAGATTCGGACAAAATCGCGGGTGCAGGATATTGGAGTATTGTTCTTGAAGATGAGGATAGTAATGGGGATGGAGGTGAAGAGGCGATTGATCCGTGGTGGCTACTGGAAGGGGAGAAGAGAGAATATGCGAAGGGGAATTTTGAGATTTGGGTGGAGATAAGAGGAGAGGGAGGGGTACGCATTATGGTGTATTTATCTTTCTATTTTTGTTCTATGTTAGAGTGAGAAGGAATTGGACGTTGGGTGTGCCATCTTGCTATGTGATGAGATAGATGTGAGTGAAATAAAATGGAAAGCAAGCTAATACAAACCCAGCTGTCGAAGTAATCCTCACCTCTCCTTCTCATCGCCGCCACGGAATCGGTAATTTGATCCTATCATGGGGTACTCAAAAAGCGGATGAACTCGGATTAGATTGTTATGTGGAAGGTTCGCAAACAGGTGTTCCCTTATATACCAAACATGGGTTTGAAAGGATTCGAGATGTGGAAGTTAAGCCAAACAAAGAAGAACATTTGAACAGCGAGGAATGGAAAAAGTTTGGTGAGGAGCTGGTGGAAGTTTTGACTATTATGCGGAGGCCTTGCAGGTAAATTTGAGGATAGATTAGGAGAGATTGGTTGTGGTTGGTTGTGGTGAGTTGCAGACTGAAGGTTGCGAGAGAGAAATTTTGATTGATTTGGCGAGAGTAAACATCGAGTTGTTGTTAGCTAATGCACTTTACAGTTGCGATGAAAAGAACTCTAGGTACTGCGAAATCAATAACGGAGATTGGTACTAGCAAGTATTGTATTCTCGTCGAACGATGAGGGTTGGTTACAACAGCATTACCTTGTCAACCGCGTGATTTATTCATAGTAAAGAACTAGATGCAAGAATCCTGTAAATTCTCTCACACGAATACCTAGGTAGCCTTTAACATGGTACAAAACAAGAGATGAGTTGTTTATTTGGCAATGAATGCGGGTCGCAATTTATGAAAGCTAAATGACATGATGGGCTTCACAATGAGATCACAGCAGAGATTGTTTACCACGGCTGGGGAAAGTGGCAAAGTCATAAAAATCCATCAAATGAGACCAACATATACTCGCGGTTAATTGATATAATTACATTGCGAGACAATGCTATCGGTAGGTATATATCAAACATTCCAACCCATTTTGTATACGCTCAACGCCACTAAACGCCGTTCTATACTGTATGCAAGCAATCCACTTGGGTACCATAAACTTTCAATACATCATTAATTTGGCGAATCTACTTCACCATGAACCTGAGCTCCCTGTGGCTCCTCTACTGGAGAAGTAACGATCCTCATTGCTTCAGACAAAATGCTGAACCCCTCTTCGATTTCTTGCTCGGTGATATTCAAGCTTGGTACAAATCTCAAAGTGTTGGTTCCAGCAGTGATAATCAATAAACCTCTCTCTCTAGCAGCTGTGACGATAGGTGTAGGGTCTTGGCTAAGTTGTAATCCCAAGTGTAATCCTTTGCCCCTGATTTCTTTGACCAGTTCTGGGTACTTGGATTGTAAGGCTTGGAAATGCTTCTTAAATATTTCTGACTTCTTGAGGACATCTTTTTGTAAAGATGCATCAGATAGTCGAGAGACAATGTAATGAGCTATCCTGGATCCTAGTGGATTTCCACCAAATGTAGTTCCGTGATCACCAACCTTGATCTTCTCCGTTACATTCTTATTGACAATTGTTGCTCCAATGGGGAAACCATTTCCGAGTGCCTTGGCGGTAGTAATGATGTCTGGATGGGCTGATTTTGGTAATGAAGCATGGGCCCAGAAGATTCCCGTTCGTGAAAGTCCACATTGAATTTCATCATAAATGAGGACTGCACCAACCTCACGACAACGAGCTGCGAGTGCGGTAAGGAATTCATCGGTAGCCACAATTACACCACCCTCTCCTTGAATTGGCTCTACTATAACACCACAGGTCTTCTCCGTAACCAAATCCTTGATAGCATCCACATCATTGTATGTTCCATATTTGAATCCAGGTAACATTGGAGAAAATGGTTTTTGATATTTAGGGTTTGGGGTGGCAGATAATGACCCCATGGTTCGACCATGGAAAGAGTTTTGGAATGAAACGACTTCATGCTTGTCTCCTGATGGATCAACGACCTTTCCGGTCTTTCTAGCGAACTTTATGGCAGCTTCATTAGCTTCACTGCCCGAGTTGCAGATGAAGACAGCTTGCGCATCGTGCATTGAATTCGATTCAAGAGTCTTCTCAATGAGAAGTTTAGAGAGGGCCCCGGTCCATGGATTGTGATACAAGTTGGAAGTATGCATAAGAGTTGTTCCCTGATGTAGTGTATGGGGTCAGATGAGTCACTTGAGGGAAAGTGAGGGGCAGAATTTACCTGTTCTAACATTATCTTTGCGATTTCTGGATCGCAATGCCCTAGAGCATTGACTGCTATACCCGCTGTGAAATCCAGATATTTCCTGTTTTCCACATCCCAAAGATGACATCCTGCTCCCTTCACAAACATTGGTGGTGGTCGGACATAGGTGGCAACCATATATGGAGCTTGTTCTCCGATGAGATGTGCTGTTTGTGAATTTGGTGAAGGATCTGGATGCGATATATTGGCGTCACTCTAGATTTCGTGTTAGTAAAGTATGAAATAACTGGCACATCATGGCATGCATCAATAATGTGCTTCGATTCATGCCTTACATTTGTAGCATAGGCCATTGCTTGTGAGGCATTTCTTTTCATGTAGCCATTGACAACCGGTGATACATTTCCAGCTTTCAAAGCAGCTGTCACTCTTTTCGCAGATAATCGAAGAGCCATTGTGAATTATATACAGAGGGCGAAAAGAGGACGTAGTGTTGAAAATTATATGTGACTCCCAGCAACAATGATGAGTCGTACTGAAAATATATATACATATCAAAGGATAAAAAAAGATACCGGGGAGAGTTGACAATCTAAGCGTTATCGGAGCTAATCATGCAATGCAAGGATAAAAAGTTTACTACGGAGCAAGTCTCCATGGAAATAGAATTTTTACCTAAATTTATTGTCAATTAATATAGAATTTCTGCAGCTCCGGTATTTTAAGGGCGTGAGTTCTGTCATTATATACATCTTATATGTCATTGCTTTTTGCTATTTTACAAATTTCTACCATCATCTTTCTTGACCCTGAGATATTTTCTGCCACCGCCTTCCAAGGTTATCGTTGCTCTATCTATAATGGGACTAGTGCATCTAGCCCCACCATCCAACATTAGCTGAGGACCTCGAGGGCGTGAAGCTTGGAGCTTGGAGCTTGAAGATGCAGGGAACTCAAGCAGCAAAACCACTTTCATCCCTCTCCCCTCTACATTGATATATCCCATCAATAATTGACACTGATCAAGTATCATTCCACCATACGGAGAAGAAGTAAGAGGTTTGCATTACTGATATCATCTTGAGAACGTCGATTATGTCTTTTTGAAGAGCAACTTGAGGAAGAGGAGGTTCGAGACAAGTAGGGGCTTGCTTGTTGTGCCTCTGGGCAAGAACATCGATTTATAATCTCCTCATACGTCTTGGCCAAGTCCTCCATCTTATCCTTATAGAAGTCCAGATTATGGGCTCTCGATTGTGGCTGCAAGGTAACTTCCACTAATTCTTCATCGCTGTCCTCGAAATCCGAATCATTGGCGGAGAGGTTTTCGTCTGATGAAGCTGGTGAGAACAAGCCTGTATTTGAGGGTAAATTGTTTGCTGCTTCGAGATTTTCGAGCGGTTTAGGTTTTGACTTTGAGCTACCTCTCTTTGATGATGTTGAGGATGACGCAGATGGGCGATTCTTCTTCATAATTTGGTAGGTAATGTTTGAGTTGCGGGTTTTGAGCACTCGTGGAGAATCCATCGTAGTATAATGACTCTCAAGTGATGAGTCTGAAATGAAACGATTGGCAAATGGGAATGAAGTGAGAAGTTCGTGATGCCATCTTATTATTTCTTTATACACATCTTTACCGCCGCATGACAAACAGCGTTTGCCAACATATGGACTGGACCCGTCGCGACCATAGCGCTGAACAAAGATTTCAGGTTTGCACCTTCTACAGCCACAGCGTCACCTGGTATGATTTGAGCCTTTTTCATTACTGGCTAGTAGTCGAATGAAATTCAGAAGCCTTCTATAAGGTCCAGGCTTCTTGCGTGCCAGAACAAAGCTTCTAGCGCTAACCGCTTTTTGTGTATGTTTCAACAATCCCGCGCGTCAATGGCGGCCTCATTGGCTTCTCTCTTGTCAGTAGCCGCGAGTACCCAATTTTCAGTGCGGCTTTGTAGGGCGTTTCGGTATTCGACCCCAGATTGCTAGACCAGTCAATCTTAATTGCTGTGACACATCTTTGTGTCTCACTTGGCCCGTTTAAAAGTATAGTTAATCGCTCAAATTGCTGAAAACCCTTATTCAGACGCTTCCTTCGGCTTCATCATCGCGCATGCCAATATAAGGATACGCCAATCACTCGATGTTTAAAGCTTGCAGAGATGGAAGCGAATGGTTGAACAATTGGCATTTCTTGTGCCTGATCTATCGACGGTCTCAGGAGCTCGAAGCGGCAACCTATCTGACAATTGAGATCTTGACCAACTGTAACTTGGGGCTAAATAAAAGAGCGGCCTGCAGGTTATGTCAGATTGATCAACTTAAAAGTGTCATTAATCAGCGTAAAACTAATTTTTCGCATAATTCATCAATAACCGCATCGAAAGGTATGCTGTTTGGTAACACGAGGGGAATCCGTCTCACTCCATACATCCTCTAACACAAGGCTTACCCGCATTAACAATTTCACGTCCAATAATGCATGCTCAGCCAATTGAAAGTTGATTCCAATCTTTGTACCGAACCAAATGCCGCACAAGGTCCACTGTGGCAGCACTTACAGTCACACTCTATTTTACCCGGTGTAGTCATCACTTGCACGTCAAGTGCTAATTCCACGCCTAAAAGAAAAACAAATGCCACAATTTGCCCATCATATAACTACTATGTTTTGTACTTTTCTCCGATCATTCAACAACAATGCCTGTCTCATCCAACTTCCCACTATCTTCCCCACGTGAAAAGCAGTCTTCGATCGCGGCGAAGGAATTAGACACCGCCGCATTTAAAGTATCTACTTGCCAAATAAATCCATCAATTGAGAAATCTCTGCTTAAGAAGCTTGATTTGCATGTTGTTCTACCACTCATGATCTTGTTTGTTCTCGCTTTTCTCGACAGGGTCAATATTGGTAACGCAAAGATACAAGGGATGACTGAGGAGTTGAAGATGGTGGGAAATGATTTTAATGTTGCTCTCATGGTTTTTCTTCCCGTCGTAAGCTCCCACCTTGACTTTTGTGGACCTACCCCTGAAATTGCAAAGTCAAATTGGACTCAGAATTCCCAAAGATAAATATTCAGGAATGACTTAGAAATCAAGAATATCACATTATGTAGCCACGTACGTAAATGATCTTTGCTAACTAAATTTAAAGCTATATCTTGTTTGAATTTCCCTCCAATATAATCCTTCGCCGCCTCCCACCATCACTTTGGTTGACTATTATAATGACACTTTGGGGAATCATAACAGTCTGTCAAGCTCTAGTGCGTAGCCATAGTGCATTGGTTGGTCTGCGGTTCCTCCTCGGACTCTTTGAGGCTGGTTTCTCTCCCGGCGCTGTCTACCTGATTTCCATGTACTACAAACGTTATGAATTGCAGTGGCGCCTTAGTCTTTTCTTTGCGGCCTCGATTCTTTCTGGGGCCTTTGGAGGTCTCTTTGCTTATGCTCTAGCTCATATGAACGGCATTGGTGGTTATAGTGGCTGGCGCTGGATTTTCATAATCGAAGGGCTTCTCACCATTGTTGTTGCTCTCTCCTTCAAATTCCTGGGTATTCTAGTCGATTGGCCCGAAACTGCATCTTTCCTCACATCATCGGAACGGGAAATGTTAGTCCAACGATTAAAAGATGACATGGGAGAAGATACCCAGCTTAACACGTTGAATAAAGAATCTTTGAAGAGGATATTAAGTGATTGGAAAATCTACGTAGGAATCTTTATGTATATGGGAGTTGTAAATACTGGTTATGCCACTAGTTTTTTCATTCCGACAATCATTCAGGAAATGGGATATACAGCGATTGGTAGTCAGGTCAGAACTATACCTATATATTGTGTGGCTACAACGACGGTACGTTGACCCGCAACCCTCTCGACCTTGATTCTTCTGCATATAAAGTTTACTAAACCCGTGTACAGTGTCTTGTAATAGCATACTTGACCGATCGTCTTCAGCATCGCTTCTCCTTCACGATCGCTGGAGTCGCGGTTGGTATCATTGGCTACGTGATCCTTCTTTGCCAGTCGCACGTCTCGACCGGTGTGAAATACATGGCTTGTTTCTTCATAACTACGGGCGGATATATGACGCAGCCAGTCACTTGGGCATGGGTTGCTAACGTATGCTGTTTAAACTTTCTAAAGTTTCCTCCCCATCAACGTTACTCCTCAATCATTCCATTCTTATCACCTCACATCTAACCAAACACTTACTAATCCTCAAAACAGAATATGGCAGGCCACTACAAACGCTCCATTTCCACCGCCCTTCAAATAGGCGTGGGTAATATCGGTGGCATCGTCGCGTCCAACATCTTCATCACAAATCAAGCGCCAAAATATCCTGTGGGATATGGAGTCTCTCTGGGATTGTTGGTCATGTGTGGAATCATGTGTACGGTTTTCTTCTTCGGATTGAAGAGAGAAAATGGGATTAGAGATAGGGGAGGGAGAGATTATAGGTTTGGGGAAGATGAGGAGAGGCGGAGGTGGAATAGAGAAGAGGGAAAGGAAGAAGAGGGGAATTGGGGGGATGATTGGCCGGGGTTTAGGTTTGTTCTGTAGGCTGAGTTGAAAGGGTGTTAGGTGTGGGATAAGCCGATTTTCCTTTCTTGTACAGTTTGGGAGTAAGTATTTGGAATTTGTGTGCACAAGCATTGAACTACAAGTCCTCCAGAAGTCCGGTCTGATTCTTCGATAGATCGTATTGAAAGCGTCTACTAAATATTCTTTGTAACTCAATACCTCACCATCTCGTTACATGATGCTTCTCTTTCGTCTTCTTCTTCTTCCATCTTAACGCTTTTCATGTCGAAACGCAGTGAAGTGCCAAAGCCACCAATAGTCTTATATATTATTGATTTTGTATGCATCCTTCCACTTTATCGCATTCCGAGGAACGTCTTTTTCGCATGCAACTTCTGTTTCGGGTGGAGAAATGGAAAGAGGATGGAATTAGAGGTTTAGTCGTAGGATAGAGGTGGATATTTGTTGTTGATACTTGGAGTCGTTGGGTTGGTGCTGTATGGAGAAGATAAGATTGTTGGGGAGTGAATTTTTGAATCGTGGGGATGAGAAAGAGGAGGTGGTGGGGAGGATTGGCACTTGGTGGTTGGAAAGGGGAGAGAGGAGAGGGGAGAGAGGGAGAGGGGAGAGAGGGAGAGGGGAGAGAGGGAGAGGGGAGAGAGGGAGAGGGGAGAGTTGATTTGTTGTTGGAGTTGCTTTTCTGATTTGTAATCTTTGCAGTCAAGGGGCTTTTTGGGTAGCTCAAAGTCGCGTGCATGAACTGGGACCCGTGTTGTCTGTGGAAAGAAGTGAGAGACATTTGTTTTAATATAAGAATCATGGATTTGGGGCGTTAAGAAACTGGAGGTTGGATCTAAGAGAGTCGCGGGGATAGTCGAAGATATTGAAGGAGAGAATGAGTGCAAGAATTAGGAAGAGAAGTGATGAAGATTCTCTTTGAAGGAAAGAAATCCCAAAGGTTAAGGACAGGGTGAGTTTGTTGATGAGTGATTGAGATGTGAGGCTCTGTTTGTGTGGAATTTCTTCACTCTTTCTTCTTGGTGAAGGTGTTCAGTCCACGTTCATTGCAAGCTTGTAAATAGATATATCAAAATGAACAAAGGTCATTCTTGTTCATCATAACATCAGCATCCTTTCATCTTTCACAACACCACAATGATTCAACAAAAGCTTGTGTTGAAAACTCCAAGATTCCACAGTGAACAGTGAATAGTGAATATGACACAATGAAACTACAGTACAATTTGTCTGTGGAATTCTTCAGCTAATTCTTTCCTGACAAAATTGCCACAAGCCGTATTATTCACTCATTGTTTGGCCCTGATACCTTTGAAATTACCTAGGTACATGAAGTCACAAGATATTATTCTAACTCGGCTGTGCTGGAACCAAATTCGCACAACTGCAGTAATTCCAAATCTATTTAAAATTCAAGAAGCTTTATCCTTTGGATTTTACATCCATCAACAACACATTCTCTTCAAGGTCAGAATCAGAAATCCTTTCAGAATAGTTTACTCTGTATCCGCATTCTTCGCGGTCATTATTCTAAGAGGGAAAGACTGTGGTTTTTATTGATAAATTTCAATAAAGGGGAAATTTTGAGTAAGTTTTTCCTTTTCGCTCATGTGAAATTCTGCAGAAATTCCAACCCCAGATCTTCAAACCAATGCTATCAAATGATATCGGAGCACTTGGATTCCCAATCAATACTTATCAATCCGGCCTTGAAAGATACTTTGAAGATCAATAAAGCTAACACAGAATATAGGCGCCCATTCTTTGCACCACCCAAGCCTCACTCGTCAATCACTCGTTGAAGTGAACTTCACACAACAAAACCTGATCCAATTTTCCGGATATCATGGCAGAAAACCCCAAAAACCAAGGCGAAAAGCCACGGACTCCATCTAATCTTGCGACAGTACCATTTGGACCAGTACCGAAAACAGAATTGACGCCAATTGGTCAAATACCTCCGTGGAAGTCTTCAGATCAGCAACTTCAGCCTCGATTCGTCATGAAGCCGAAACTCATGGAATATATGCGACATCGATCCAGCCGTCCAAATGTCCCATTTCAACGTCGAACTGTTATGGAGCCAAATTCTGTGGAAGATATGCGACATCGATCCAGGCGTTCAAGGAGTCCAAGCCCACCTCGACGAATTGACAAAAAATCAAGATTTATTGAAGAGATGCAACCGCAATCCAGCCTTCTAAATAGCCCACGTCGACGTCGAAATGACATTGAAATAGAGCTAAAGTTTATGGAAGATATGCCACCTCAAGCCAAACGTTCAAGAAGTTCACTTCTATTTCCGAATTTAACGGAGCCAAGGTCTATTGGAGAGATGCAACCTCAAACCAAACGTTCAAGAAGTTCGCTTCTAGGTCAAAATTCAATGGAGTCAAGGTCTATTGATGAAGTGCAGCTTACGCCAAAATCTATTGAAGAGATGCAACCTCAAACCAGGCGCTCAAATAGCTCACTTCGGCCTCCTATTGTGATGAAATTAAAGTCTGTTAATAAAATTCCAACTTTGGGCGAGATAACACAGGTTTCACTCAAGTCGTTGAGGGCCATTCCAACAACCTCTACTGACAACAATTCCACAAAGCGAAAACGTGGAAGACGAACGTTTCATAAATTTGCTGATCTTCCGTTAGAACTTCAAATTATGATTTGGCAATGGTATGGAAGAATCCACGCAAACAACAAACCGAACGTCATCAAGATTTTCCGCTGTTATAGACCTGTGCTACAAAATCTCACGGTGAGAGAGGATCCATCACAGCGGATCTCATACTTTGCCATGAGTTACAAGCTTCCTCCCATCTTTTATGTCTGCAAACTTACTTTCAAAATTGCAAAAGACTTGTATGAGAAAGAGTTCCAAGTAATTCCAATGATCAAGGATGATAAACAATTGACATACTTCAATGAAGATAGGGATATCATCGCTTTGGAAAATGCTCATGTATTGAGGGATTGGAGATATAACCGCCAGACTGAAGCCGAATTCGCCGGTAGGACGCATATGAGCTCAGATCGGCCTGCTGACGAGACAATCACAAGAAGAATCAACATGAAACATCTCGTTATTGGTGGAACAGACCGATCACAGATCGAGGCGAGGCATCTGGCAAGGTTTTATGACTGCGAGTCCATAATGTTGGCGGTACCTTATTTGCTTCGCAGCAGATTCTTCTCCACGGAGGAAAGAAACAAGCCCGACCGTGAAACTATCTCATTCTTTCGTGATCGACTCTTACGCTTCTGCAAGGAAGAAAGACAAGGTACTTTTGTTAGGGAAGACTATCGCAGAAAGCCCATCCGTCCAGTGGTAGTTGAGCCAAGTTGGGATACGACTGGTCGGTCAATATCCAACCCAATGTTCTGTGTCTGTACCGATGACGAGGTATTATCTCAGCTGGTATGTATTATACGTTGGAATATCCTCAGTTTCTTATCAGATCTGAATTACTGACACATGTGTAGCACCGTTTACACCCTGCAATCACGAATTTCATGACACCACTCCCAGGAGCTGCAAGTTCTATCACTTTCATGAGCGATTTGAAGTTCTCGCACAAGCATGCTAGGCTATTCGAGTACCCGTGGGAGTTCATTGCAAAAAAATAGCTGGGGACTTCTTGAAGGTTCGTTAACCTAGGGAATGATGTGGAAGAGCAAGAGTGCTTGCAGACTTACCATCGGTCTGCTTCATTTACTGCCAATTCACGTCCAAAATTGCGCCAAACTTAAATTAACCACGAGGAAAACAAATCGATTTGGAGTTTAATGAACATGTTTCTGTTGCCTTGGGGTATTAACGGAGTTGGAGAGACTAATGGCCTTTCGATAAGTTTTATTCATTGGTGGGAATAGTGGAGTTTTTCTTTCTTCCAGCAGATTGGAAGATTCGAAGATTGGAAGATTGGAATACCGTGGACACCCTATTTTCAATTCGACATCTAGCAATCTGTCTGTTATCTGTGGCGCAGAGACCTTTGTGAATAGCAGAATTACCTTGAAATTAGATTTTTGAAATTGCCCACGTGAGAATGTGATTATGACTTGAGCCCACCACACTCTCTAATCATCACTAGTAGTAATGCTCTACCTACCTACCTAGGTAGTTACAAATGTTCTTTCCTGATAATCTGAACTAAAGAAAGACTCAATAGACTCCATGGAGTTAAATAGATATTCCATGCATTCACTTGAGCAATTAGGCAAGACTTTGCATGAAGACTCGATAGTTCTGTGCCACCCACTAATCATAAATGTGAAAGGACTAGCTATTATACCAAGGAAGCCGTTCTCTTTCATCGAGGACTTTCAGTAAACAACTATCTTTTGATGACTCTGGTAGATGCGCAGCTTTACGTTGGCAGCTATTGTAAAACTGCCTATCTGTATAATGCGTTGGGTGAAGCATTATTCATACTTCAGCCAGCACATTCACTTCTTTGTTACGGCCGGAGAGATGCTACAGCTGGTCATGGTATGGTTAGGAATATTCATTCTTATCAGAAGATAAGACATTGTTAGAATTTGGAGTATTCAACTATTTGCCCTTCGATTGTCTCGGCTAATAATCTTTGTTCTCATGTCAACAACTTACATACAACAATTTCAATCTCGACTCCGATTTTTCACACTTTTTTGAAATTCTCAACCAATGCGCATTTATTAATTGACTTCTCATACACTGTCCACAACTTTACTTCTTTGACCTGAGAAGAGCCATTCGTCATACCTAGTCACTACCATTCGCATTACGAACTTCGAACTTCCTCAACTTTTACACCATTACCTCCATCATGGCTGTTCTCACCCAGTTTACGGTATTCCCCAAGCTTTCTGAAGAACTGAAGGCTATGATCTGGGATTTGGTTTCGCAACAACCTAGTCGAATCCGATTTGAATCCTACATCGTTCGTAAGACAAAATTTTCCAAGATCAAAGACAAGGAGCTTGTCTCTGAAAGGGATAAGATTTTTTCTGGCAAACATCCTGATTATCCCCGCCCTTGGAGGCTGAAGGCTGAAGGCAGGGTACCTTCTGTGCTTATAACTTGCCGGGAATCTCGCTATTGGGCAATGAAGCATTATCGTTTGGAGTTCAAGGATCAACTGTATAGCAAGGCTCTATGGTTCAACTCTAAAGTTGATATTCTAACTTTCGATACGACTAGTACCTTACTTGTATTTATTGAGGGAGGTTGCACCCTCAACGGGCGAAGTTTGTCTTTCAAAGACAGCACTAAAATGCCTGTCGTGGAAAGAATAGCTTTGCTTTATCCTATTCAAACATATTCGTATAATGTTGCCACGGAGACTACAAAGAATTTCCCTCAATTGAAGTCGCTCGTTATGAGAACCGATGGCATTCGTTCCGAAGCCGTTTTGTGCGACAGTGATAGATGGTTACCTGGTCCAAGAATCAGTTTGCCTTCTCTTAGAGTCCGAATGAATCAACTATGGCATTCTGATGAGTGGAAGGCAATCAGAGCTTACAGTCAAATTCCAGAATTGCGAATTCTGACGGCAGATGAGATGTGGAATACTGTAAGTTTGACGGAACACTTCTTATATGGATGACATCCACTAACATTTTCTAGGGTTTAACACAGCCATTTGGTCCTTCCAATAAATCACCCAAGCGTCGACGAAGAAATCTCAAGGCAGATCCAAATCAAATGCCACCAGTTCGTCGATCGAATCGAATCAAGTCTATGGAGACAAAACAATATCTCGAAGACTAGATGAATGCAAAGAAAATGATCTCATTCAAGACCCTACTTTACAAAGGGACAGTAGACTTTGGGTTCCGCGTTTCGTCGTACAATCTACCACTCTACTCGAAGTATCTCCGAGCGACCTGTTATTTTGAGAGTTTCTTTCTTCAACAACATGGTTGGATCAACTGTTATCTTTGAATGAAAGTCCTCTTTGCTTATCTAGCCGCTTTATTCAATAATTAGGCATCATCCCTTTCCTCCTCCTTCATCGCACAGCTGCATACATAACAATTCGAAACATCCCATTGATTTTCCTACTCGCAAATACAAAGAACCCAGCACTTGCGTGGCCTCGAGCCCTTCCAGACTGCTTTTCTACGACATTCTTCTTGTACCACTTGTAGCTGCTCAAAAGCTTATCTTGCTTCAGCCGTGTCCTCCACATAACAACAAATCTCGACAGTTCCTCTGCACCATAGCTTTTACTTATTACGAATCGAGAATCAGTTCTGTCGACGTACTTCACACATTGATGATTGTCGCCGGTGATGGCAGCATGGAAACTTGCACAACGTGGAGGATTACTGGCTGGTTGGGATTTCTCGTTTCAGAAAGTGGCAGGATATGCAACCGCTGGGTGATTTATTGACAACACGTTTAGTCAGGATGGCTGGTGTTTGGTAGAATACTAGTTATTATCTTATTTTTGATTGTTTTATCTCTTGGAATAGGATCCGCTGGGACCCTGAGCCGAGGAACATCTTCTCAATACGATATAATCTGGGCACAGAAAGAAACATGCAATAAGTACCTAGGTAGTTGAAGTAAACTTCCTCAAGAACTGAATTCAAATTTCATCTATTAACTAAGTTTCTTCTTGAAGAATATGTAATTGTCATGGAATAATAATACGGTATCAGTGCCGTGTATTCATTATGAATTGTTGACTCCAACTCTTGTAAGTAAACTGTGAGATATGCTCCAGTACCTAGCTAATAGTACAAGGCTCCGTTCTTTCTTGTATTATAAGACTGGAAACAGTATTTCCCGTCTCTGTTGTGCTCCATCAAAACACCAAAGATCCCAGACCCCTCACATACACCCATTAGTGTTTTCCATTCTGCGAGACTCATCATATACATGCTCATGCCCGAACCCATAAAATTTGATGCCTTTTCCACAGCCAAGACTTCTTTGTAACCGCACATTGTCATGAAATAATCCTCAAGCCATTGCCTGCACTCTTTATTCATCCATTCTGTTTCTGGGATATCCTGGAAGCATTTTCGAGGAACTAGTATTTCATGTTAGCAAACTGACGGGTTCCGGAAATCTTGGGATGACAGTGGAGATGTACCTTTTGGTGCAGATCCACTACTTGGTAGGGGTGATTCAGATGAGTTGCTATCCATGCTGGTATTCATATTTGAGAAATCGAAGATGGGCTTTGCACCGCTTGTTTGCGAGCTCGTGGGTGCTGTGGAGCGGTATGGGGGAGGACACGTAAGGTCGTCATTTGAGTCTCCGCGAGATGAAAATAGCTTGAATGGGCGGCGATTACCAGACATTGTTAAGAAATATTTTTGTGTTTTTACGAATTGTAATCGAACAGCTGCTTATATTTCACAGAAGAATGAGTAGACAAAGCCAGTGTAAGAGGAAAGAAATAATATGGTACGTAAGTGGGAAAGCAGACTCTTAAATGAAATGATATATAATCTAGTTCTAAACTAACTTGAAGCCAAGGTCATAGATTCATAGTGTCTTCCAAAATAGTGGCAGTACAAACATGATTGGCATACATAGTACACAACGTTCGGGTAACTTGTTCTTATCTTCAATTTTTGTGTATGTTTTAGGTAGGCACTATAACTTCCTAACACTGTTCCTAACACTGTTCAATTCTACACCAGTTTTACGTATGACGACGATGAGTTAGGCGTGTAGACTAGAAGAACGCCAGTCCCAAACCTTAAATTGGCATCGCTCGGCAAGTTTTTGGTTCAAAATTCATGCTGACCTGGCATACCCGAGTCACCAAAAGACTCAGATGCGTTTCCTTCTTCAACAATAACGGTTGAGGAGACGCTTCTATTGCGATATGTGGTATTATCGCGCGGCATAGGTATTTTGATTTCTCACTCAATACACCTTATGGAGCCGAGATTTTCACGTGATTAGTCTTATGTACCCAAGATCGTCCGACCAATGTTTTCGTTAGCCTCTTGTACCAAACCATAATAAATACCCCACGAACCAGGACTTGGCATTCTATAGTGATTAAGCTAGGATCTTTCCTTGGATCATTGATATGCAAGAATCGTGTGCTAATTTGGTGTATATGAAGTACCTTTCGAGTTTCTACAAAAATCACCTGGAACCTGGATATGTCACCAATTTCATGATAATGGGAACACACAATTGTCAGAAAATCTTATAAATAAAAGCTGATCCTATATTACATAATTCTTGAACCAAAAGAACGTCAATGGCCCATATATAAGAACCATAGTCCAGAATATCCATTCATAAACACGACCATCTATTTCCAAGGCTGTCTATAAGTAAAGCATTATTCCACCAGCGACGAAAGCAAGCTACATTGTTTCTTTGTCTATGCTGATTCTAAAGCTTTCTTTGAAAGTTTCTTGGTGTTGTATGTAGATCCGACTTCAAAAATTGAGTCAAAAAAAGAAAGTGTCGCGTTGGCACTACTCCTAATCATTGTTAGTAAGTTGTGGATCCAAGATGTCGGAAGTAGAGGATTCTTCACTTACATTGATCGTTGCTCACCTTGTTCCACGGCTTCTAGAATATCATCAAACTTGACAATACGGACTTCAGGGGATCCAGGAGTGGCAATCCCTTGCCTGATACGGTCAGCTTTGGCGTCGTAAGAGAGCCTCTTCACCTCCTTGTCAGACCATATCTCCTTGAATGTACCCCACCAAGTTGGCGATCTTTCTGCAATGACTACACGCTTGATGCCATCCCAAATAGCCAATATCTCAGTCAAAACATCTTCCTCGCTCTTGCCACTACCCCAACCGGCAATCATCGAAAACACATTTTCGACTTTTTGGATCTCTTCAGAGATGACATGGTCTTCTCCCGATAGAATTTCGAAATGCTCACATGTGCTACTACCAACAAGACTTACATAGTCTTGCTGATAATTGAAATAGATAGGATTGCGAAGAATGCCTTTGAATATGACCGTGTATTTTTTAAGTGCTTCTTTTCTAGAGTCGCGACAAACGTGCAGAACCACCGGCATGATATAATCACCCCGGAACCCTTCCTCTCCTGATCCATCTTCGGCGCAAGGTTTAATACGCACAATCTGTCGATCATCCGCGGCCGCAGCCCAAATCATAAGCTGAAGTTCCGCCGGTAATCTGGGAAACAGACAAAATGAACGCCGGGCTTTGAAATAAGGATCCAAATTGTGGTCGACGCCGATGATGAGAGGATTGGGGGGTTCGGATAGCTGCAGTTGGCGAAAGCTAGTCTCCATTCGGAGAAGATCGAAGGTTTGTGGATGCATCTTTGTAATATTTTGTAATTTTTCTGCGAGGAGTTGTTAATTCGAAGAGAATGCGCAAGTGTTTATGGGAAATTCACGCGTCTTTGTACTTACTTTGGTACGGCAGTAGAGGGCAACAAAGTGCGTAGTAGACACCAATCTAATTTGCTTGCCACCGCCGTAGTGACAGAATAATTGTTCTTCTGGGATATGTCCTTCTCTTGTACAAGTATATTTTGTTATGAAATTCAATGATTTCTTAAGTAAACAAGAGAATAGTTGTTTGATCTGTAACCGAGGTTTCACCGATTTATAAATACAAGAGATCAAAGTGAATACACAAATTGATAAACACAAAGATCCAACCTTGGAAGTGATAAAAGTATCAGAAAACAAGCGCGTCAGGGCAGGGATTAAAAACTTGGTTCAAAGAGCTCTCAAAAGTCAAAGAATTTCAGAGCCTTAGCTTTACTGGAAAACATCGACGGTTATTCTCAATTCGAAAACAACAACACACACACATTATACAGCTAGCTTCATTACAAGCCAAACAAACCATGGCGGTCACTACATTGGAGAGATTCACATGCTTTACCAAACTACCTCCCGAGCTCCAGTTGATAGTTTGGTCCTTTTGTCCCTATGTCGACAAACAGGTCATTAATATCGCAGATGAATCGGATGTAGTTTTGGGTATAGGTTCATATAGCGGCATCGATAGAAGAGGAAATAGACTGAATCCACTTGCAATGGACTTCCCAGAGGCAAATTTTATCAATGTCCAGTACAAAGTTCCCTTACCTTTGCAAATCTGCCAACAGTCCAGAAACGTAGCTCTTCAGCATTACCGACGAGTTGCTACTACATATGGCGATACCAAGTACGGATCACCTTTCTACATTAACTCCAATCAGGATTCTATTATTTTTGAGGACATAATAGCCGTTACGCCACCTCCCCAACTTCCAACTAATTCTTTTTGGAGGTATAACGGAAAAACTCTTTCAACTCCCGATGGTGAAAATCTCTGCACTTCAGTGGCCACTTGTTGGGCTACGATCGAGCCTCCAACTATAGATCATCTTCTATATACGCTGTCCAAATTCCCAGATGTTAAACATTTATACTTTCTTGATTGCCCTTCTGGACCCTTCCCTGTGTCACATATGTCGAACTATAACATACAGTGGATGGGCAGGGATAGAATGGAGGAGCTTGCCAATGGATACATAGATTTGCTATTGAAGGTGACGGTAGGTGGAACGTGTAATTGTTCACCAGACTCAACAGATATAAAGGAACGCAAGGGTATCTTCCGGAGCACTTGGGTGTTGCCACTAATAAGCTGCATTACCATCTAAGAATGGTGTCTCCAGAAAAACGGAGGCTAAATGATTGAAGGTGAGTTGAATCAGCGTGATGAACTGAATCATATTTCCACAAGACCAAACCCGAACTGACTATATCTGGTAGAAAAATTCTTCGGCAAAAGTTAAAAACGTGATGGTTCGAGAAGCAGGAACATATTGGCTACCTCACTTCAAACATAGAATACACTTTTCTATGCAACCATGGCGTTGGTTGTTTTTCAGGGTTCATCTTTTTCTTATTTTTTTCTTTTCAGGAAAAAACTTGAACAGGAAGGGTTCAAAAGACCTTGTTTTCAGCAATGGTATGGTGGGCTTAATCTACGGGGAGGGACCATACCCAATGAGTGTGGCAAGCAAGTCTTGGCAAGCAAATATTTCAGGAGTACAATTTGGGAAACAGGGTTGGGTACGTGGATTTGCTGCTTGATACACCTTACCTAGTTACTGAATGGATTCATTATTTGAGATGTAATTTCTGCACCTACTTTTATAGAATTGTGAAAAGTAAGACAGACATGTTAATTCTTAAGCGTTTGAACCTCTAGACTTCTTTATCGTGACAGAATGTGATGGTCCTATAACCAATGATCTTTGAAGACAATGATTTTGACAACTGACTATTAGCCATCGTAGGGATATGAAATGGTAGTTCAGTACTGCCAAATGACAAATGAGGATTTACACACTCCTACGGCAAGTAACAAAAGTACCGTGACTCCATCCAACAACTCATTTACTCAAAAGACTAAAAATACAGCTGACTCATGGTCTCATTTCCTTGGACATCATTCCAAAAAATAACTTGCTGATTTCCCATGCACATCGCTACTGCAATAGTGCCTCGTATGAAGGTCAAATACTCGACAAGACCATCAGAGATAAGTGTAGATTTGAACAGTAAGATGAAGCACGTAGCCAGCATTGCGTTTCCTTCCTCGAACAAACTTACTCCCGAGGATATGGCCACGTTGAGACTTGCTATGGCTTTTAGGCAATGATGAATAGCAGTGCAGGTGAGATTACAGGACGCGGTTGGAGCTGTGGGGCCAAAAGTAAGGTCAGAAGCTGAGAAGGCTAGCATGGAACGAAGAAGTGGAAAGGCCGAAATTCTACCATGCTAAAAACTAGACTGACAATTTGAATAGAGTTAGGTATTTATAAGTCAGGTGACGATCTATGTATTAAAATCTCAGAGCATGCTGATTGAATCTCCGGCCATTCACAACTAAGCCCTCTGTGGTCGCAATAGTCACAGACTGGGTGGGTTTCTTTGCACTGAAGATGGTATCAGTATAGTAGACCTTCAAAGAGCTCCAGAGCAATACTTTGATGCAGGCTTTCTTGCAATTCAGACAGCCTTTTCTAGATTTCTTGTGCCACTTTCGGGCCTTCCTCTCGCTGCTGACGAGAGTCAGACGGAGCTTCCAAAGAAGAGTCTCGTAGAATCAAACTTGATTTATTGCTGTAATTCTCCATGGTTAAGCATCTCGATATCTATGCTCCCAGATATCGAGATTTTGCACTTGTCTAGACTTGCAATGGTAAAAGGATAAGAGGCCTCGAGCTCTGCAAATTGAAACTCGTGTGATGTTGAATTGGGCTTTTATGAATCTAGGAGCCGTTTGTTTCTCCATGTCGTTTATTACTTTTGTACGGTTTGCAGCCCCAGTGATAGATTATGCTGCCTAAAACAAGACGTGTCAGCCGGTGAGGTGTTGTGGCTGCTTTGGCTTATTTAGCGAGAACCACTCGAATAGGGGAATTATGACAAGGTTATTCCTTGCATCGAATCTCCAAGCGACGCTAGTCTTCCAAGTCCATAACATCAAGGTCTAGATTCGTCGACGTCTCTGTCGGATGTATAATAGAAAGACCAAATAAATGGTTTGCGAAACCGTATTTCCAGTATCCGCAGCTCCGTTCCAAAATTACAGGATGTGATTCTGAAAACCAAAATTTGACGATCACGTGACTTGAGATCCACACATCAATGCGAACATCACGTCAATTGGACTTTCCCTAGACATTTCAATTTCAGCGAAACTACGTCATACTTATCGGCCAGAAGTTGGCTATGTTTTACAATAGATCTAATAGCAATCTCTCCAGCCAAGACCATTAAAATCTTCGAACTCGTGTTTTCCTCAATGCAGAAGTGTGCACATTCACAGTTGTTGAATCATCAGTGTAATAGTGGCCAAACATCACACATGCTGCTAGGAAACTACTGAGATCTATGTTGATTGCTTGAATGATTTTACTCAATTATGTTTTAGAGGTCATAGATATCTTCTCTGATATTTGCTTCACTAAGTCTGAGGTCTAGCCGACAACTGCGAACAAATCAGTTAAAATGGGCAGATATACACCCCAGTGGTATTTCTTGACTGTAGTTTTCTTTTCATCAACTTTCTTTCTAGGCTTTAATGGCAAGCAAGAAACTACTCACTTTAGAGTAAAGAGATGAAAGAAGTTGGAACCTTTCTCAAAGGACGTCTCGTCTCATCTCCAAGCAATCATATGTAGAATTATGACAAATTACCTTGATCCTGTCTTCTGAGTCTGTCGTATTCACCTCTAAACTAAAGGTTAAGCGTTTGAATCATGAAATATATAGATCTTATCCCTAATTCGATACTTTTAAACTTTCATGCCAAGCACTGATAATGAATATGTTATTCTTCTAGTTTGTTTCTTTCTGTGTAAATGAGCAAGATAGAGTCCGAGCTCCTGGTCATCTGGTTAATCCATTCACAGCTCAGACTTTCTGAATCCAACATATTCGAAAGATCAAGGACTTGCACAATCTGAACCATCAAAGTTTTTCTCTCCTAGTGATCCAGCGCAGCATAAACTCACCTTTTCACACACAAGCATCTCGGCAGGAAACCTGGAAATCGACTCTTCATATATTACGCTTTACAAAATCCTCGAAACTTCGAACTCTTACAGCTCCTTCCGAATATTGCAACCCCTCCTTGTACAAGACACAGCTACCAGTCATTGTTCAACCGCAAGCGTACATAGACAGGCCATCACCGTTCTGTGTCAACACGATCTAGTTTCTTCAGTGTAGAAAAGATTTACTGGCGTGGTAAATGTGAGTTTCAATCTTACGTCTTGCTCTATTGATGATATCTTTACTTACGTGTTCAACTGGCAGCATGGATTCACAGCCCCTGCCTTTATATCCGAAGAAGACTACCCATAAAGAAGGAGGCTCATTGACAATTCAAAGTCTCCCACCGGAGTTAAGTCAAGCGATCTGGAAGTTGTCATTGAACAACAATCGATTCATAAAAATACACTGGGCGTACAAGACGAATGACGATCTGCATAGAAACTCCGTTGCCAATGACTTTTATGCGACCTACGATAAGATCGAGGTCCTAGAAGTTTCTTCGGAGTCGCGCACTCTTGCATTGAAAAATTACAAATTGTGCTTAGGCAAAGATATACGCCATCCGATTTACATCAACGGTAACAAAGATATTCCCAGATTCACGAATTTGACACTTACACAGATCACCTACTCTTCACACGTCGATGGTGTCTGGGGTGTCTTGAGCGTTCAAGCTGCTAGCATCAAGCGCATTGCTGTTGAGATGCGAAACGATTCTAATATTTTCGAGGCTCGAAGAAGCTTAACTGAAGTAGGGTTGTTGGTTTCTGCCATCCTGCTGTTCGCTACCTTGGAAACGATATTCGTGCAGCCATCGTGCGTCATTAGTCCCATCTTCTGAGGCAGCCTTCCGCGCACAATTTGAGAAAAGAATGCAAAGAAACGTTAGGTTGTACAGTCCCTCTGGCAATGGAAAGCGCTATAATGTTCCTGAAATTGTGATCGTTTGCCCCCAGTGCGATCCAGATTTCCTCAAGGCATGTCAATGTTGAGAGTCTATGGCGTAGATAGCTATCGTGCGAGGAGTAGGGGCAGGACTTTGAGGGGACTCATGAGAAGATATTTGATATTTCAGGTAAAACGTCTATTTGGGGAATGGGGTTAATTTTGATGGGCCAAGCTGTACTACTGTAGTCCACCATTATACGATACATTCATCAGATATGTGATTTCAGCGTTTTAGAATTGAACCATAGTACTACAGCAATACAATCTTGATTCACTTCAATATTACAGCTTCTTGTATTCTTGCCGTGCCAATTTCTACCAATATATCTATATAATAATCAAAGTAACTCTGCAGCTGTTGTTCCTATTCCAAACTATTCCCAAACATTCAGAATAACAATAATACTCCATGATGTCTTCTGAACAACAAGCACAATCCGAATCATCGAATTCCTCCAACATTGACAGCACTGGAAGCTTCGTAAATCTTCCTCGAGAGCTCGATGATATGATATGGTCTCAAGTTCCAGTAATATCAGGCCACGCTTGATCGAAATTTGTGCCGATCCCACTGTTCAGACCGGCGAGAAACAATTCAAAATGAAAATCAAATTATCTGGAAACCCCAACCGCTTGGTTTTGAACGCAAGAGCCGTAATTCTTTCCCACCACAGACACATGTTCGATTATAAGATCACAAATCCTCAGATTGTCAACACCGCGAAGGACACCTTTATGTTCAATGGGATCAGTCAGTTAAATGAGTATGTTCAGCATACGGGAGCTACTATCACCCAAACTGGTGCGGTGGAATCAGAGCCTGCGTGCTATCCAACAATGCAGAACCTAGTAGTCACACTATCCCTAGATATTGGAAACCCAGGCTCAGAACCATATTTGGTCTGGCTGAACCGTCTTCGCGAGGAAATTGATTTCAACAAGTCTATCTTGGAGAAAATTTTACGCGAGCTTCTAGAGTCTGTCAGCAAGGTACAGAGTCTCAAAAAGATATATCTCCTGACTGAAGAGGAGCAGATGCCAGGACCCAGACTTGTTGAGCGGATTGATGGTAGGCTCATGGATCTTTTTGCAGAAGACGATGAGTTGCAAAGACGCTATGGGGAGGGTCTAAGAATGCCAGAAGTTGTGTGCCTGACGAAGATGGAATTTCCAGTGGAGTTGGTGAGAGTAGCTCGCAGATACGCTAGACCATGATGGTTTCCTAAATGAACTCGGAAAAAGTAATATAGCATTAGAAGACGGGGCTTTCAGATGGAGCCTGTATCTGATATCATCATAGGTGGACGAAGTGTCAACAGTACATAGCAATTAGACAGACTCCAAACTAATGGCATGATATTACGTTTTTGACTCAAGTGAATTCGGCACATCAAGGAATAGAACCATTAGATCTCGGTGAAAAACTTATGAACCACGTGGCGTGACTTTTGACTCGTACCTCATCTCACCTGCCACTTATCATCTTCCAGCGAAGCTACGCATATATAAATGACCCGGATTTTCTCTTAGATGCACTATTCTTAAGACTCTCAAATATCCAAGAAGATTCTGCAAATGGCGACCCCAATCTTAGGTCAAAATAAAGGCCCAAATCCCGTCGAAATAACAGCAGCGCTGGACCCGAAATTCTGGAGCCTCAAGAACACTGGGACAAACGACAAGTTTCCTCCACAACTCATCGAGATCAAAAAGTACGATTTCACATTTGAAGTACTTGCAAGTAAACAACAAAGAGAGAATAGTAATCGGAGGCCCTGGATCGTTAACTTCGAGGTCAAATCAATTCGAAATCACAAAAATTCACAAACCTGATCAACTTCACTCCTCGTGCTTTGCATCTCTCACCAAATTGTTTCAAACTCGACTGTAAGATCAAGAATCCAATATTATTTCGTCCTTCTTGCGACGTTTTCTTCTTTCAGGAGCTTGCTCACTTGAGGGAGTATGCTGTAGCAACGAAAGGCATTGTCACTAATTATACTGCGTCGGGCCCGGTGGCAAATGAGACTTTTCCAAAAATCGAAAGAGTGGTGGTTGAATTTGGAGCCCAGACACCAATAAGTTGTGATTTTCGCGACATTTTGGTGGAGCTTCTTCCAATAATCAAAGAAGTCGGAACACTGAAGGGAGTCATATTGTTGGTGAGACGACAGTCTCTTGAAAGAGGTGAAGTAGGGATCTTGCGGATCGATGAAGACTTAAAAAAGCTTGTTGATGAAAGCTCTGATGTATACTCACCGCCAGTAGGTGTTTTTATGCCCAGGGTAACTTGTATGGCAATGGAAACTTTTGAATCGACATTTGGTGGGTATGGATTAGATCAAACGGACGGATGAATGGTGCTTATACCTACACTTGGGTCAAGATTTTGAACACTTTCGAGCACCAGAATGGGTAGTGGTTCCTTCTGAATAGAGGATGGACAGAATTTACAGCCAGAGGGTGATGTAATGAGACTAGAAGTAAGAAATGATACGATGGTTCCCCTATAAGAAATGATTTGGGCTATAAATTTTTTGATTTGCAAATGCCCTATAACCTCATTCTGTGACTTTCCGATTCTGAAGTTCTTCCGCAGAGCTATCGTGTGCAAACTCTGTAATAGGCGAGGCAATGGACGACTCTCGAATCGAATGAATCGAGTGCCCATAACAAATTGAATCTTTTCAATGACCCGGCAGTCCTATCAGAACTAACTCTGTAGTTACTAGCTTCCGGGTGATGCCAAGATGTGTGTCTCACTTATGTTGTGCCGGTTCGATGAGATAGAAGCTTCCAAACACATCGAGTTCCCTATATGTTTGATTCTTTTCTTCCTTCACACTCTCTCTCCATAGCAAGTTGGGGTTCTTTTTTGTGTTTTTCTAACCTATCGTAGAGTATTCCAAAAAAAAAATACCGGCGGACTGCAGGGTGACAATAGGGTGAACTAGATCCACGCTGACAAAATCTCCACGGATTTGCCCTTTCGAGCTGCAAGATTGTTATTTGTCGTCCGCAGCAGTTGCTATCAATTTTATGGTAAGTTTCATCTCTTCAAATCACCAAACTTTCTCGGGGATTTTATATTGTTTCCAATATCAAAAGGCAATTGAGCTTTATTATAGTACTCGTCATTGAACAGCTTCGCTGACTAAGCCGGAAGAAATCCCCACCACCATCCAACCTATTGCTAAGCCACTATTGTTCAGTCTTGGTTTCAAGCAAGAAGTATTTATTACCATCAAGCGCATCCGGCCTGTATCAAGTCAACTTTCGAGAATATACTTTTATCTATTGGGAGCATTACGCCCAAGGAAATCAAACACAACGAGAACCATCGCCTTATAACAACTCCGAGAGTTTGAAAATCTAAGAAATCATGTCTGAATTGGAAGCAACGTCTACAAGCTTCATGAAAGTGCCAGAGATGCGACTTGCAATCTGGGAAGCCCTAGTCCCACCGCCCCGACGAATATACATGCAAAAATCCGGCTTATCTCTTTCGGATAATAGATACTGGGTGGCAAAAGTCGAGTCTGATTCCGGGTCTCTCACAATTCCAAATCCGTCTATCCTAGGAATATGCGCTGAATCCCGAGATTATTTCATTCGTGAGAAAGGATACACTCTACTTAGCTCTTGTCTCATAAGCCCAATATACGTAAATTACTCAAGAGATCAACTTTGGTTCGATTCTTTATCTCGCCTTTGGAGTTACGTCAGGAACGTTTCTTATCGACGTCGCCTGGAAAGACGCAACGGCAAAATGAATGAGGAAGCTTTGCAATTGTCTAGGATTAGAAAACTTGGCATAAGCTTGACTGGCAAGGAAAAGATGGGGCGGTTCTCTGCCCGTATAATGACTCATATAATCATGAGGCTCCCCGAATTGGAAGAGGTTATCTTTGAGCTTTCAAAAGACGGATTTGACAATCACAAAGCTTATATAGATGAAAAACTAAGCGGCTATGAAGAAAGGCTACGGGGCCACAATATCCTCGATCCGAGAGCCCCCCCTAGACTTATTTACATAATGCAGGAAGTTGTAGCTCCTCCTGAAGATATATGAGCGCGGACTTCTTAAATCCACATGGAGCTTTAGAGACGAGAGAGGAGGATGAGAGTGTTCGTAGGTGGCGGGAGGCCGCAGAGTAATGGGTGCTCGGAGACATTCAAGGTCTCGTGATAAAATCATATCTTCAAGATGTGATCTACAATTGGATAGAATTATACGAACAAGCAGGAGAACTTGATACTACCGAAAAATCCAAAGCAATTGATCCAAAACGCATCGGCAACCACCACAGCGAAGCAGTCACTTTGTTTGCCAGCCTTGGACCCGAACTTCACATTGCCATATGCGAGCTAGCAGTGGCGGCTGCAACACCTGCTTTGCCGGAATTGATATATCTATTCCCACATCAACCAGAACACCCAGAGGATTGTTTAGAAAGTGCAAAATGGGCCTACCGTCAATTAACCACAACTCCAAATCTTTGGATGACTCTCGATACTACATGTTTCTCAGGAGTTCCGAGGCGTGGCATGAAAAACTTATGGCTTGTTGTATGTTCCAATTATCAGCACAATGCTATTCCGCCCCTCAGCCGACTTTCTCAGTTTTTATGATATGCATCGCATGAAAGAATACACAGATATAGTCACACTATATAAGCTCCACCAGAGTTCTGGGGTCAAATTCAAGAGAGTTTCTATTGCTGCTCATCCTGTCTGGCCAAAATACCCCTTCCGCTCGAATACCGTTATTCAGCGAGAGCCCGTGCAAGATCCAGCCCGAGAGATATGGAAGCTCATCTTGCTTTTCGAGGATCTCGAACACAATCTTCCACTTTCTGTATATTTGGTTTTACGAAAAGTCACGGAAGGAACATGGCCCACTCAGACCCCGAGATGAAATTTGGATTAACTTTCAGCTGCTCATCTGAGGGGACAACCATATCGTTGATTGCTCTGGCAGTGTACCCAATTTGGTGGGGTGTCACCCTTCGTCCACTTCGCGAAGAGACTTCGAATACCAACACAGAGCTTATAGTAATTGGATCGATTATTAAGTACACATCCTATACTCTAGTACGATATTTTGCTAGGTAGTTTTCGAAGCTGGAGGGTTTTGTCGGGTTTATATGGGCTAGACTTCGAGGTTATCTGTGTATCATAGCTCATATTTGATCACGTGCCGACAGCTAGTTGAGTGTTAGATAATGCAAATTCGTTGGTTTTTGACATAAATAGATATTTTATGGGCTAAACTGCTCTTTACTTGTGGTTGAACGTCTTTCTCGTGCTATAATGGACAAACTATTTCGAATTAAGTGCTTTGGGAGTAACACCGTTCAAGGTCCAACGGTAATCATGGATACTAATAAATATGGACCCAGTAATGCTGCTACTATTGCAGCCTTGCTTGAAAATAGATTGGCGCCAGAGCTTCTGTCAAGGAATATATGTTGGTACGTGATATTCCAGAAGATAGTTGGAGTCAAACAGTTGAAGAAAGACAAGTGAAGGTGCTTGAGGATGTTTTGGGTCGATCGAGGTAATGGAAGAGGCAGTGCTTGGCTTACACTTGATGACTGGGGGATGTAGAGCACTTCTACGGCGGTTAGCTGAAAATCCCGTGGGATGAAGCTATAGCCATACACATCATGACTCGGATCTATCGCAACCACTTTTCACCACCACATGGCGCCACAATCTAGTTCTAGGTAGTTTTTATGTCCTCGGAGAGTGGGTGATGCATGATTCATCAGTAATTCTACATGACCCAGTGATTTTCTTAGTATCAGCAGCCAAGAATAGAATATTGCCCTTTTCTAAAGAATTTCCTGCGTGATACAGCTTTCCGCCCACCAGCCGTAGTATTTTGTCTCTCAACCAAAGATTAGCCAGAATCTTTAGGGAATTTGCTGCGTTATATCTGTAGAAAAGCTACTCGTCTATATTGTACTTCGGTATTATTGAACTGAGTCCGTGGAAACTACAAAAAGTGCAATACATCTCCTGCAGACGACATGAACAGATCCGTATCTAGAACAGTAATTCATTGTGAGGACATTCTAGAATCTGCATGCTTTATGCATAATGCTGAAGAGACTGTGTATGTTGATTTGGATATCCTTCATTTTTTCAACAGACTATGAGCGACGGATGCAGTATCTTCAGCCTTCGCAGGAGTCTTGTTCAACTTAACGCAGAGCTTTTGGTAGGTGTAATACTCTCTCCAAGATTTCTAGTTTCAAGGAACGAAAGTTGCGACGAATATACGGTATCGAAATATTCATCTCTGTAAGCCTAAGACAGTAGGGTTACAAGTCGGCTCCTATTTCATATCCCCGAGAATCTAGGCTTGAGTTACCGGGGAAGTTCGGTAGTAGATACCTGGGTAAAATTCTTATTATATAGCCGACAAGCTATAGTGTTGTTGACCATAGAGTTATCGACGCGCATTGAATCGATGCATCTGCACTAGTGCTCGGAGATTTGCAGAAAGAACTCTATATTCGATATTCAATTGCCATTGTATAATAGTCTAGCTGGGACGTTTATAAGGAGTCTGCTCAAATATATACTGACGTGATGTTAGTAAGTATTCATTATTCCAAGGACAACAGAGTGATGGCGACAAAGCTCGTTGTTTAACTAAATTTGCGGTGCGCAAAATCGACGGCAAATTTTTTAACTCGCTGTAGAACAATGAGATGGATTATGTGCGGGCAGGAATAGTGTACCAGACCCAGGATGCGCGAATCGGGTTCGAATGATTTCGCGTGGGTAGTCTTGCAATAAACGTCGATGGATTCCTGAAGGATGCTTTCTTAAGAATGAGTGGTATTTAATTGCGACTGATCGTCCGGGTAGGAGAAGTCTTGGGTTAAGTACAGTGTTTCTCCTGTGAAAACAAATAGTCGTTTTCATCGATAACTGACAACATTCATTCGGGAGCATCAAGCTGTCCAGAGCCTACATTCTCTTCGAATTCTTGTGGTCCATTGCAGAGTCCATTGCAGAGTCCATTGCAGAGTCCATTGCAGAGTCCATTGCAGAGTCCATTGCAGAGTCCATTGCAGAGTCCATTGCAGAGTCCATTCTGCGTGTCATCCTTCTTTCCAGATCTCTGATCATAATCGACGGTGAGTTCTCCCGAAATTTCCTCTCGTCTGCATTCGCTGGGCCCCTTGAGATTAACTGCTTCTTTTGTAGAAATGGCAATCTTGGCACAGTGTCTTTATTTTGAATTTATAGGCCGTTACTCGTTGATTTCCTCCCTTGGATGTCTGGGTAGCACTCAAGCTTGATATGTGTACCCACGGCTTTAGAGGATGTCCTCGTTGTGTCCTTTAGCATCAAGCGTAGCAATCGAGCGCCCAGCAAAATTTTCGAGTATATTGGGTGTTATAATTTGATATAGCACGCGATACCACCAGCTCGCGACTGTAGGCTCCCATTTAATGTATCCACGATTCTTCTTGCTATCTCAAACAAGTATCTAGGCGATCATGTGTACATCTTCGAAGGTTTCCCGCATCTAGATCTGAGGTTTCTGCGAAGCTGTAGTATCTATATACAAATGTCAATAGTCCCATAACTTCGATGTGATGAGGCCTCTATATCCTCTTTTGTGTTGTAGCCATGTGAGCCGATATTATTTGGCACACAAGGAATGATATGATAACCCTCTGCTACTTCTGTTCATGAATACTTGTGTAGTTGCAGCCTTATTTTCGCTCTTATTCTCGTGAATATATCGTGGAGTCTGTGGAGATTCTGTAAATCGAATTGTTAGTGAGTTTCTGTGAATGTTTTACGGAAGCGCTTATCATTCCTTTCAACATTCAGGCCCATAGCTTGCGAGAGCGCTTTTAGAGGCCCGGAGAGCCATTTGTCAAGTCATTTTGTGACAGTATAACCCCCCGTGTAAGATTCGAGGACATTTAAAGACTCCTCTGGTAAGTTCCGTTGACAAAAGATGCCAACCACAAAGCTAATCACGGTGGCATCTCCAAGTCAGGTTAAAAAGACCAAAGGTTGATTGAAGCTTAAAGAACATACACTTGCGTATATACGTTTACAGCCGAAAGAACACCGAGCGTCTTTTTTCTCTTAGCCAACCTTATTAGTCAAGTCAATAATATCTTACAAAGAGGGATTTCTGACAATGTGTAACTTCAATTAGGTATTAAGTGTAAATTCCAGTTGTTTTATTATGTAACAACTCTTGACTCTTTAAGTTGGACATGTTGATTGATCTTTTAATTAATTTCTCGCTTCGAAAAAGGGGCAGGAAACATATCCAAACTGAACTACTCCAAACACTATTAAATTTTAAATCCAAATAAGATACATTGCTAGATATTCAATCATAAATCAAAAATTTCCATTGATAGACAAATGGGTACTAGCGCAATCTGAGTCGATTTCGCTCAGCCTCGCACACTGTCAATTCTTTAGTCCAGCAAAAAAATCTTCCACGCCGCCCGCTTTTTATGATAGGGAACAAGCCATCGATTTCAACAAAATTCAAATACATACCACCCGAGTCATTCTCTGCCTTCCATCTTCGCAACGTCTCTTCTGTCTTACTGTATCAGATCAACTGTGCTCAGTCCAGATATATTCTTTAGAAACCACTAGCTAAGAAGAATAAGCCATCATGGATAACACCCATGAAGACTCCGTAGGTTTCTATCTCGTTTTTAAACGAAGATTCTTTGTTTGTGAGGATATTACTAACTATTCAATGTAGGGATCAAATGCCGGCAGTGTTACTGGTGCGCCCACTACCCAACAAACCAGTCGAGGAACCCAAACAGGCGCTGCAATTACAACACAGCCAGGCTCTTTCCAGCTTTTCGGAAATTTGCCGCCCGAATTAAAATTAAAGATATTGAACATCGCTGCCCGAGAGGTTCCTCGTACCATCGAGATGACACCACAAGGAAACCATCGAGGATACGCACCTGCGCTACTTGGAGTCAGTCATATGGCCCGCGAAGAGGCTTTGAAAGTTTACATTGCCTTGCGACCAAGATCTCTACAGCGTATCTGGTTCAACCCAGACAACGATACCCTCATATTGAATATTGCACTAACGCTGTCAACGATTTCTCGAATAGCACCACCTGTTCTAACGTCAATTGCATTAGCACCAGCTGCGTTAACACTAATCGTATTGCCAGCACCTGAATCGACGCTAATTGCATTACCACTACCTGCAATGTATCCATTTCATTAAGAGCGCCTGCCCTGGATAGACTTTCCTTTTTGCATATCGTTAACCCTAGTAACACACCTGACGTCTCGCAATGGATGGCTTCCATGGGAATTAAATCGTTTGTAATCAGGTCAGGATATTAACCCCGTTTTCGGACAGATGTTATGGATAGCTCTGATTACATTCTGGAGCTCTGAATACGGAAAAACCCAGCTCTTTCTTGGGCTCTCTCTTGCTGAATGGAATAGTTGGGAAAGCTTGAATCATATGCGAGGGTCTCACTGGCACACTCTTAGAGACCTTTGTTCAACGGTCCACGATTCGGTTTTCGATCTCATCGCCACAGTACTTTCAACTCTCCGAACCAAGTGCTACTACCTCGTTAATTTCGTCTCAAGCTGGGGAATATGTTTCGTCTCCATCAATCATGGCAAAGCTCTCCTCCTTTTATCAACTTCCAAAAGTTTTTCAGTCTATGGCCACTTGGATTTTCGGAAGCAGCGGGCACTCGCTTTGCAAGTTGAGTGCTGGCATAACGATTTCGCAATTTCGAAACAACATTGCAAGCAGCGGAAGATATTCAGACAGTATTTCCAAAAAGGGTTATTTGGAGGAAAGCAAGCTGGTGTGACTCTCAACACCACTAGCTTAGTCATTTACTTTTCTTTTATGGATTCAGCTTTCTAAGACATAACATCATAGTCTCTTCGACGACAGGTACCAGATGTTTCCTTTTCCTTGCTTCTTTTATCAATTCTGGACATTTTTGTTCAGACTTCCCCTTTGTTGTGCGGTTTGTGGTGCTAAAGGACGTCAGTCAAATCATCCTGTAACTTTCAAATTACACATGACAAGGCACAGCGGTTCTGAATCAATAAGCCTTTAGCGTCTCTCTCTATTATTTGTGTGTACTTCATAGGTCTCAAGTAAGATAAAATATCACATGCTTCCAATTGGGCAACGTTAAAAGCGTGGCAGCTACCATTGATTTTGCAGTGTAACGTGAGAACTCAACGCATAAAAGCCTGCACCCTATCAAGACTCTTATGTCGAATAATAACCCTCTGATTGATGCCACAAAGTCAACTTTTCATGGTCGGCTGCATGATGAAGTATGTGTATGAAAAGTCTAAAGATCAGGCTGGGAGCTGCCTTCGGTGTGTTCTGGGGCGAAGCATACGGGTGCTGACATGGCATATGTTGCACCAAATATGCACATGTAAAAATGCATAAGACTATGTTTGGGCTTCTCAATGAGGTAATTTTAAGCAGGCATGATTAGATGGCATGTGTTAAAATTTGCTAAATGAATATCGAGCCTGAGAGAACAAACTGCGTACAAAATCGTGGATCTTCAAAATCCTTCTCGCTGAGCAAGTTGGGCAGCTTATAGTAATAAATTTTCGTGATCGTTAGAAGTATATGCATGTAGTTCGAATCGATGTCTGGTATCCCTGGAGATTTGAATACCTCTTGATTATGAAAATATGCCCAATGAATACACGAAGAGAAAAATCTGTTGGCATTTTGCCTGAGATTGATATCTTCCACCTCTCAAAGCTGGGGCCTCCATTCCCCTCCAGTCCTTTCCATATCCATGGATATCGCGAAATCCGCAGCTCGAAATGACTTGAACTAGATCTCTTGTAAAGACTCTCTTGTGATTTCAGAGCTCTCGCTATGACTGAGATCGAACTGGTAGTATATGTGTTTCATGCCGGAAAGTTGGCTGGTCACCACCGCACAGGCTGCCAACCAGGTTCATTGCCCAGTCCCTCGCGCCATACATGTAATCTGTTGGTAAGTTCTGTATGCCAAAACTAAGACCAAGTCCAGAGTCCAGGATTGTCGGAATCCATTGAAGAAGAAGAGTTGAAGATATCTGAAGAACCGACGAGAAGAAGTAAAACATGAGTATACAGCATCCCAGATGCCAGAGCGTGCTCCTGAGGGACTATTAGTAAAAAAACTAGTCAATGAAGAAGCTAGACTTACTTGGTGATGTCCAAAATCCCCAGGGGATTCATTCCAGTGTTCAAAATAAGACCGATAGGAAGTAAGAGGAGCCAGAGGAGGAAGACGCTATACTCATATTAATCCCCTGATACGTTCTGCACTCCATAAGTCGGGACTGACCAGACAAATGCAAGGCTCCATCCTTCGCCTTCTGATGCCATCATCCCTGTTAAAATATTGACTGGGGCGAGGAAGCATTCGAAAACGATAATAGCAACTAGAACCCTTCTTCTTCCTGGAGAAAGAGAATGAGTTGAATTCGAACTATCGTGAAAGCACTCGATATTGATACCTACTGAATGGCCTTCGAGTATGTTCTCAAGTTGAGGCAGAGATAATTCGGATATTGTAGCCATCTTTGAAGCTTAGCCTGACAGGAGCGAAATTGCATAGGTGAGAAAGAATGCCAATAATCGCAGAATATTCGTCTAAATGATGTATGATACGGGGGTTGATAATTTATGTTTCGTAAACAGCAACTATATGAATAGGAAGGTGGGAAGTTCAAGGTATATGAAAGGTCAACTACCTAGTAATATATATAGATGTGAGTGTATGTAGTTCAAAGCGTCCAATATTTGAGTGAAATCTGATATCTTCAGTGCATAATTTCAGATGGCGATTTCGTTCATGGGGAGCCACTCATCGCATCTATTGGGCAAAAGAATGCCTTATTGCTAAAATCGTCCACGCAATATGCTGAATGACCGGGGCTTAAATCAATGTGTCATAACCGCTCCTCGTCCCACTGCAGTAGTGTGAAAGATTAAACACAAGGCTTTCTCGGATACTAAGAGGCGCCAGATCTTAAGTCGTGAAGCATCTTCCCTTGAAAGATTCCTAGTTTCGAGGCTTAGTGGTCCGTAAGGCTTCTGTCGGGTCTCACTACATAATCCATGCTGTGTAAGTTCATTTTTGTTCGAGCACAGCGCCTTCGTACGGGGCACTGATTCAACACTTACACAAAAAGTATTGATCCCGCAGATTGTGCAGCCTTCTCGGTTCATTCATATATCAGCACGACACCCCATGAGAAAGCATGTACTCAAGCAATCAGTGGGAACGCAGAAACCAACTTCGATTTACAAGCGATATCATCGCAACTGAAACGAGTAGTATTCCGTAAGGTCCGATGATCATTGATGCTGAGTAATGATGTTAACTTTGTGGTAGTGGCAGATCAAGAACCTCACTCATGGCAAAATCAGAATATATGCTGAAGATGGAGAATGAGAAGCCCATGCACCAATGCGGTGGCTTCCATTTGTGTCAATCTTTACCCCTAAATGCATCCATCTTCACCGGAAAATGGGCTTTGAGATCCAAGACTCTATCAACCGACATTAATTCAATCAGTCGTAAAATGGAACCCCGGATTCAAGAATCCCATTCCTCAATTTTGACCATTGTTCCCCGCCGGCCATCATGCCATTGTCTCTTCCTCTTAACTCTCGCACTCCTAAACATCAGCTCTTCACTTCTCATGGGCGCAACCTTCATCTGCCTGAATTATAGCAGAAGTCTAGAGACACCCAGCTCCACTATGTCCACAGTAAGTCTTTCCCAAACCCTCACCAAAGCGTGACTCTAACAATTGCAGATCATCGCTCCCATTCTGAACTCCTTAGACCTTCAATTCAAGTCATCACATGACGTCATCACATTCTGCAGCTTCATTCTCGCAACAGGTGTCTTCACTCTAACAATATTTTTATGGATGTCACATGGGCCCGACTCTTCATGTCCCTCGTGGCTTTTGATAGTTCAAGCCTATGGATATTGGATAGGTTTTAATCCGGTGGAGTTGGTGCTATGTATCTTCCCCTTGAGTGTTAGCGTTTGGATGATGCTCAATTGGGCAGTGGACCTTCTCCAGAACCGAAGAGACGTACAATATCTTCAACAGGTAGAGTGTAACGATAATGCGGTGTATTTGGTTTGATTTTTTGGGAACAAGGGCAAGTCTCCGGGAGAGGTTATGCTCGTGAAGTATGGGAACGCTCGCGGGACCAAACGCCGTGGTTGGCAAGTCTTCATGAATATATGTTATGTAGAAATGCAACTTAAGAAACTGTTTCGGAAAGGTATGCCTTTTGAGCTTTAAGTATGGAATTTTGCTTGGATGTATCCTTCTGATTTCCCTGATCCGTTTCCCCGACACCGAAAGTTTGAACGTGTGAATGAAAATCAGTAGTTGGGTCCCCGAACATGATTTGAACCCGAGAAGTCTTCATGATTGCTAAACAAAAAATCTTCTTCCAAAAAGTGACCAATATAATTTACTCGGCCGACTTTCGTAAAATGACCTCAAGTTCATCCCACCTACCAGCTCTCATAGGATCAAGCTTTCTCAATTCCGAAAGCCAAGCTTTACAATCTTGTACTTCATCATGTTCAGGCAGGCGCATTTCCATTTCACATACAGCAAGTGTATACTCAAACAAAGCATCAAAAACCCACTTACAGTCCTCACCTCCATCAAGAAAGTCCCTCAGATTGATAAGTTGCTGCTTGATATATTCTATACGATCTTCTCGAGAAAAGTTTGGAGTTATGGTTGCATGACCGACAGACTCAGTGAGAGTTGACATGAGAAATTGATGATAGAACCATACAGACTGATCATACGGATACGCATCATTCCACATAGCTTTAGTAATAAGATCAAACTCTGAAGAAATGTTAGCATAACTTGTAACGCAATATGTTGGACTAAAGTGTACCCTCATCTAGAAACTGCCGCCTCTGAGTTGCAGTCGCTTGCCGCTCGTCGAGCAGTCTTGGTATTAGTTTACTTCGGTTGTGCCAAGCCGAGAAGTTTTTCAACTCCGCATTAATCATTCTTGTAGTATATGCAAATTCCGATTCGACCATGCTTGAGCCATTCAATTTGGGATCTTCCAGCTGTGAAACAACGGTCCGTCGGTATCCCCAACCATGGAAGTTTCGACTATCTCTTGTCAACATCTTCCCCACTAAAACAAGTTCGCGCTGCCACAATCCTCTCGCAATATCGGCAGCCAATCTGTCATTTGCTTCTTTTAATAACCACAATCGATAGTTCCATATCCAATAGCATTTTGGCCAGCCCAACATCAACGGAAATATAAAATCTAAGTCTGCCTGTATCAAATCAAGAATCGTAGAATTCTTCCCAGGATTCAGGGGGTGCGGGTCTGCCCGGATCTTGGTCAAGTCCTCGGAAGACGCAGAGGTAGAGGAGGATGAGGTTACGCCAGACGTCGAGTTCTCGGACAGCCCAGAAGAAGGCAATTGGGTATCCGATTCCAATGATGACTCCGATGATTTCGAGAATAATCCATGAATTAGCAAACGCCTGCGGATGTTCCATATCGTATAGTATTCGGGATTCTTTGATAGTAGTTTGGAAGTTAGGTCGAGTACCTCACGGGTATATTGGCGCTCTGCGACCTGTCTAAACATTAGAAAGACCATCAATCGACTGAATATTGACATACTTTGAGCTGAATCAGTTCTACCAAAGCTTTGTATTCTTCAATATCCTTTTGTTCCTTCAGCTGCGCCGTTATTGATTTTTGTTCAGTCGTCGCAATTCGTGGCATCCCATGCTATAGATTGAATCAGTCTCAAGTCACCACGAAGTCTGAAGAGACGTACGCTTGCCATCTTGAGAACCTCTCCTTCTATTATTGGAGGCGACAGACTGGCTGAATGAGAGTTGGCGGGGTGGCTGGCAGTTCAGCCTTGTGAGATAGATACCTAGTAGCTCTTGGAAAATGCGACTCATGAATTTGGAAAGTGGGGCCGGAGCTCTGTCATGTAAGCTCCGATGGACTATGGGTCGGCACAACATCGGCTCGAGATCGGTTCACGTTGTTAGTACTTGCTTCCGATAACATCAATCAATGTCTCTCGTCTCATCTCTCCTTTTATTTTCTCCTAATTCTCCTCTCTTCATAAGTCCAACAACGGACCAGAAGGATTATCAACATTCTTACAGTATTACTAACTTCAGCAGTACAGCAGTACATTATCGGTAATGCCTGATTTGAATGTTTCTTAAGGTCATTTTATTTGTGCTATTGTCTCACCATAGGCTTCGCCGGTGCCCTTATCCGGTCGACATTCTTTAGCCATCTTCAGGAAGAAAGCATAGGATAGCTTCAAGGGAATTCCCCGCTGGACACTTACGGACCTACCCATCTCTCCCTCTTCGTTAAGGAAATCAGCGTGAGGTTCAATATTTCTATTTACTTTCCATTGTTCCTTTCACGAGAGAGCGCCGATAAGCCGCTGTTCCTTTGCATCTTATCGTTGTCCTCCTCGATTGTCACTCTTCATAGCCTTGCTATGTCTTCTTTTTATAATGATGGATGGATCAATAGCTCTCCAAAGATCCTCTATTCTCCGGACGACTCAGGTTATGACAGTTCATCTCCCAGACGAAGGCTAAGTATATTAAGTGGTGAGCGTCGTGTCTACCTTTTGATGCATGCCATTGTCTTATATATTTGCAGACACTCATTCGACTCATGACCCTCCCCTGCCACGGTTCCGAGATGAAAATGGGAAAGAATGGAAAACGAGTCTTTCCATGCGGATCAAAAATGTGATCAATGGAGTTCCTATTGACCAAAATCTGTCAAACATTGCTCCAAATAGTCTTCGGTTTGATGGATCATCAGATAGCCCCAAAATTCCAACTACTTCATCCTCTTCGACAGTACCTCGACCCAATACCAAGTCTAGACCAGCTCTTTCGAACACGCTCCGGGCTCGAACGTCAGTTGACTCGACCCCAACTAGAAAGTCTGCTAGCTCCTTGCATTCTCCAGATCGATTTCTTCCTGTTCTGAAAAGATCTGATTCCGCGACACAAAGCTTTCGTGCTAATAAAGATCCTGGAAGTCTCTCGCCTTATGAAAGATTAATGAGACATAGCAGTGCAAGCCTTGATGCTTTCAACCCCCGTCGACGTGCTACATCGCCAATTCCCCTAGCTTCTCGACCTGATTCCAGAAGAATTGTTTCTGCAAATCGCGGCAGAGGTATGGAATAGATCAGGGGTATTAATTGATTTCCATTCTGATTAATTTATAGGTGCTACTGCCCTTATTTTTCAGAGAAGTGCTCCAACAACACCCTTTGGGGAGAGGCAGGTGAGTGCAAGCTTCATGTCATATTTTCAAGGATATATCTCCGTCTATTCAGCAAATGGCTACGCAAGACGAAAATTTAAGCAGCGTTGATCTTTTCCCTGCCGTACTGATTACCACAGGTCAGTGTAGGAACCGTATGGGCCGTCGGAGGAGTGGCTCCTATGAGCGCTGGCATCTCAGACGGGCGTGGCGGTATGCTTGGCAGTGGGACTAATGCACCATTATATACAACATCCTTCTCCGCTTCACGTCCGAAAGCACAAGAAGACTTTGAAAAGCATGAAGACAGGCTGGCGCAAGCATTAGACATTGACCGTACACAACGCGTTTTTGAATTTCGAGACCCATTAGCCACACCACCCACCACTCCACTTGATTCTAAATCTAAGAGGTATATCTTTGACACCAAGACTACATGGAATGGAACAGAGTGGGTGCTTGGTGGACCGGAACAAAGTCCGTAATTCTGTTTCATGCTTTTCATATGTACAGATTGGGATTCTGATGATCATATAGAGCAACAATTGCCACAAGAACCTCGCACGCTTCCTGTTGCTCCTTTCAAATAAGTTTGTCATTCGCTGGCATATAGCATTTACTAATCTTCAGCACAGTTTTAGATGCACCAAATTTGCGAGATGACTTTTATTGCTCGGTTCTCGCATACTCTGGAACGAGTCATACACTGGCTGTCGGTCTGGGCTCATTGCTTTATGCATGGTCCGAAATGGCAGGAGTTCATTTACTTCATGGCGGAACTTCAAATGCTTCTTGGTTGACATCGCTAGCATTTTCATCTACACAAGGAGCCAAATCAATACTTGCCTTTGGCAGGTCTGATGGATCTCTGAGTTTGTTGTCACTTTATGACAGTCTATTGCCTAGATTCGAAGTCCAACAGCCCTGTCCTATAGCTTGCGTCACTTGGAGACCTTCGATAACAATGCGACCTTCGCGAAATCCACTTGCCCCGGACATTATGGTGAAGACAGAAGATCTGATTGTCGGAGATGAACAAGGAAATATATATTATTATGTCGTTGAATGGCCTGATGCATGGGAAATAACTCGCGATGGCTGGTCTGGCTCTATGACACTCATTGCCAAGATCTCTATTCACACCCAACAAATATGTGGTCTCTCATTTTCCACAGATGGCTCATCATTCGCAACTGGAGGTAATGATAATCTTTGTTGTCTTTTCCGTACAAATGAAGTCACCCGGCCTTCTCGTGGTCAACTAGGCACCGCAGAAGAAGTGTTCCTTGCTACAGCAGGTATGCGTCGCATACATAGCGTAGCGGGTCAAAGTCGCGTTAAGGAAATCATCTCCGGGGCCGAGAAACATCGTTGGGTTCATGGAGCGGCTGTCAAGGCAATTGCATTTTGCCCTTGGAGAGATGGCCTAATCGCAACCGGCGGTGGAAGTAACGATAAATGCATCCATTTCTTTCACACATCTTCCGGAGCCTGCCTAGCTACCATTAGTGTAGCAGCTCAAGTTACTTCTCTTATTTGGTCCACTACTCGTCGTGAAATCGCAGCCACATTCGGGTACGCGCAACCTGAACATCCATACCGAATCGCCGTTTTTAGTTGGCCAGACTGTAAGCAAGTAGCTGCTATTCCATGGGAAGGCGAGCATCGAGCACTATTTGCGATTCCATATCCAGGTGGTCCAAATGAAAGCCATAGTAGTAGGGAAGGGGGAAGGGCCTTGACAAGAACGGCCCAAGAGGGTTGCTTGGTCGTGGCTAGTAGTGATGAGAGTGTTAAGTTTCATGAGGTGTGGACAAGTAGTATGAAGGCTACTAGTGGAGGTGAGGGCTTACTAGGTGGAAGTGATATTTTGGAGGGCTTGGAGGGGATTGACAAGGAGGGCGCTGTTATCAGATAAACTTGTTGACGGGGTGAAGATGAGTGTTTAAAGAACGTATAAGGAGATGACGTACATAACAGTCTGTACATCATCTGTGCGAAACAAATTGAAATAAGATAAGGAGAGAAATGAAGGGGGGGGGGGGGAGAGTCACTAAATGAAATGAACGCGAAATCGGAGAGATGAAGAGATGTACTACACCTGCTTTTCTTTTGCAAGTTGCAGACACGAGTACATACAAATTTGCTTATTCTTCTGAATCAAAACAAACAAATATTCCTTACCTGAAACTATACTTTTGACTTCACATGTCTGTCTACATCTTCGATTTTTGATACTTGGATAAGGGGGCTCCGAGCAAGTTCCGAGAAGTATGCTGAGAAAATGTTGAGAAAATGTTGAGAAAATGCAAGAAAGATAAATGAGACAGGTCACCGGGGGAGTAGATTGAGCGTATACATACATTACAACCTGATGTAACGAAAGGCCAAGCTCGCCGAAAAGCTACAGAGATAAATGGTAATGAGATATTAGTTGGTAATGAAGAGAAGAAACATTTTGAATTTTCAAAGGGTCCGACCTGCTTGCTTATTTGGAAAGATAGATAGATAGGTGGGATTTATAGGAGAGGTACTGGAGATGGATGGTTTAGATGCTAGATACTGGATACTGGATACTGGATGCTAGATACTAGATGCTAGATACTGGATGCTAAATACTGGATACTAGATACTGGATGCTAGATATCTTCTGAGCAAGGCATTATGATACTGTAATAGGATGGGGAATAATGTAATTTTACATGGCGAGATGGGACCAATATGCTAAAGATAGGATGGGATGGGATGGGATGGGAAATGCAGGAGGTACGTAATACTAATTTGGAATTCTGGAATGCTGGAATTGTTTAGATCTTGATTGGTGGGGATGAGATGAGAGATTCTGGGTAGGTAGGTAAGTACTTGGAAGAGAAAATGAAGATGAAGATGAAGACGAAGATGAAAAGAAAGCACTATAATAGTATTACTCTGTTTAATTATTTACTTATTTACTTATTTATTTATCTATATTATTACAGAAAAGAATGATATATATATCAACTACTGAATATTAGATATTAGATACTAGATACTAGATATTAAATACTAGATACTAGATATCTACCTCCCGAGTTCTTTACTCTTATCTAGATATATAAAAGTAGGATCTATAAATCTATAAATCTACGAGATAAGAACTCATTGGGAGGAACCTTGGTAGAGTTAGAAGAAGAAAGAAATAAGAATAATCAAGTGCAAGAGTGAAGAGAGTGAAGAGAGTGAAAAGAGTGAAGAGAGTAAAGAGAGTGAAGAGAGTGAGAGAGTGAGAGAGTGAGAGAGTAAATGAATAGAAGAAATGAAAAGCAAAGTATGAAAACAGAATCGGGATTCCCCGGGAGCTGTGGACAGGAGAGAGAGAAATTGTCACGTGGATTTTTACACATAATAAGTACAAGCATTTGCGCTAGTGTCTTGGTGGGGTTGCAGCGCATAATAGTTTACTCGTAATCGTGTTTCTTACATTCTACAGCAGGCCCATTTTCCACTCGCTTTCATATGTCCACCCGTTTGTACTCATACACCACACACCATACACCATGATTTTTTTATGTATTTTTAGTTTTGTATTTATTTGTCTACGGAGGTATGTATCTCAACGCTTCTATCAGTCAATCAGTAAATACCCGCCAGATCGACTTGTGCCCCCTGGGCTTGCTTGCTGTACCAGATTCCACTATGTTCACTCCTCCACTTCTCCATCGGACTGCTCTACCAACGTACCATGTCTGCGTATTTTGCAGCAAGCGGCACTATCGACCTCTCCATTCCCAATCCCGGCATACAAAGTGCTTAGCAAGCCAGTAAACATTGCTTGATCATCAAGTTGCCTTGGCAAATGTGATGATCGAATGTTAAACGCCAAACACCTTGCTCACGTGGAAAAACAACGATGGGTGGTATTTCTTGAAAGAAAGAGGAAAAAATGACGTTAAAAAAGAAGAAAAATAGGGAGAGGCATCCTCCTCGCAGACAGGTATATGCAGAGAGATTTCTCGGATTCTTCTTGTGTTCCGCCACGCCAGACTGGCAAGAAGGATCCATCCTTGATTTGAGATGCTTGTAGACTGTTCTCTCGAGCATCTCCGAGGGATTTTGGAGAAAAATCTCCCAATGGTGGTTTGATCGTTGCTTTGCCCCTCGACGTGCGGCATATCTGTGGAGATGCTATCCCATGTGTCGTGTTTCGTATGCGTAAAGTGGAGATGGTCATTGATAATATTTCTAGGGATTTTGACACTGGATCGAATCGCGAGGAATAAATGCTCGGTATTATCATTTTGTATCTGGAGGATTGAGTATTCATCAATCTAAAACGAAGTCGAGATGTGAGTCCTGTAGTGCTCCCAGAACTGTTCCTATCTTGTGAACCTTTTGGAGAGAATTGTCATTCTGGATGAGACTGGCTATCCTGCCGAAGCTTTTCCTGCGGATTTGGAGAATATTCATACATTAGATAAAGCACATTCAGGTACGTCAATGCCCTTCCAAGATCGCATTAGTTGTTTACAGGAGCAGATGTAGACGAATCTGCGTCCACAACTCCAGCTGCGCTAACATCTGGAGAAGAATCTCCACCAGTGTGGATAGTCTGCGCTTGGGCTTGTGTTTCAATTGCAGCCGTGGGGACTTCTACGACCGGAATGACTTGTGCGGTTGTTTCCTGTCCCTTTGATTCGGCTGCAGTCGGAATACTTTCATTCTGCTTTTTGCTTTCTGTCACTGGTGTTTGACTGGGTTCACTTGATTGACTTTCTGGCTGAGAGGTAGCTTTATTTGAGGGTTGAGTCGATTCGGTATCCTTGACAACTTCTTCTTCACGACTTGAATTTTCCGTGGGCTTTAGGGCGAGATTTCCTGTTTCGAGTGTTTCCTTTGGCATTGAGGGTTGAGGAGCGGAAGCTGTTTCTTCGACTACCATCGGTTCTGGTAATGAGGCTGTAACGGGCAAATTATTTTCTCTATTTAGTGGAGCAGTACCGGGATTCACAGCTGGGGCCTGAATACGGCCCCATTCCAAAGTTGGATTGGCATTGTATCTATTGTCGGAGACAGGTGCGGAATTCGAAGAATTTTGCGCATTGTCTCCGTTTCCTGAGGCGTTTGCTTTAGTAAAGTCCTGCTATCATCAAGTTAGTCATGAATTCGTATCTGAATTCCAATGATTGAAAGAGCACTACTTACTCCGCGGGCTGGTGAAGAACATGCCGCGCCTGGTGAAATTTCAACTCCTATCGTACCTGCCGATGGTTCGGGAACTGAATCTTCTCCGATGTTGATGCGCTTTGAAGAACCTCGAGAATTTCCCTTCCACCAACTTCCCATGCCGACACCTCTAATCTCCCCATCACTTAAAACATGTTGTGCATCTCCATCACCTCTTACATTGCTCTCTTCCATTTGTATGTCCTCTCCATTTCCATGGTCCATAGTTCGCTTTCCATTTCCGTTCATGTGTGTTTCCAGCCACAACTCGCGGTCTCGATCAACTTCCTGGTATTCTCGATCCATGTGATGTTTCATCGCAACATTTCCCCGCTCCATCCCATTAACCCCTTCAACCCACCTGATGTTCATGATCAAGTAACTCAGACCGTCGTGAGCACGGGTGTTCTTGCCTCCCCATTCACGACTCTTGATACCATATCGGATCGTGCTAAAGTACTTATCAAGACAACCCAGAACAAGTACTGTGACATGAAGATCGCGATTGTTACGAACTGGCATAGGACCTCTAGCAGGAGGACGGTCAAAAAATTCATCCGGTCCATCAGCCATCGTATCCAGTTCTGGCTCAACAGATATTCCTTCATCTGCTTGATAAAGATCCAAAAGTTTGACATCGATATCGTCGCTCCATTTTCCGCAAATCCAACCTTGATGAATTAATGCCGCAATGATGTCCGAGTCATCCGAATAGACATCAGTACCCCATAGGTTTTTCCGAGCTGTGATTTGTGCTCTGCTTGGCGGCTGAAGATGAACCCGGGAAATCTTAACTGTAAATGTACAATTGATCAGGTTTTCGAAATTCGCGCTGCTCCTATTAGTACCAGCAAATGCGCGATTGTATGGCACTTCGCCAGTAGAGTTTGATCGGTACAATGAGAGATTTGCTTGGTAATACTCGCCACCAAGATGGCAACGAGGGTGCTGTGAAGCATCATCAATGATCTCTTGTGAATGAACTCGGTATTTGGGCATATGGAGGTGGTTGTTCATAGGAGGAGGGACTTTTGGTCCTACAGAATTGTGATTCGGTCCTGCAGAATGGTGATGATGGTGATGGTGATGGTGAGAATGTGGATTGGAGAGATGATGATGCGGAACAACGGAAGTTTCTCCGTGAGGTGGGGACACATCACCATTGGTTCTTTTGATGCTTTTAAAGGGCGTCACCGATTGAGATGAAGGTGGCGGGATTTGATCCAAGGCACCGGCGACTCGGTGTTGGTGACTAAACAGATTAGATGGATCATTAAAAAAGTGGAATGCGGGAATGTGAACATACGTATGTCGATGTGCAGCATGTTTTGTACGCTTTTCTCTGCCATTGGGAGTTTGTCGTCCAGTACTACTGTCGTCGTCATTTCTATCTTCCTCCTTGAGCTTACGGCGTCTACCAAATGGACGAGGCATTGTAGAGCTACCATTTTCAATAGGCGAATTGTGAGCAGAAGGGGAATCAAGGTCTTCACGGCGTGAGCCAGAGAAAGGCAAACCAGCAGTAGTAGATCCCGCAACAGGACTAGATAAACTCAAAGCCACCCCACTTCCAATGCCAGGAAATATTTTACCAAACTCACTCTTGATACTAGGTTCACCAGCGGGACCAGGTTGCTGTGATTGTGCACCTTGTACAGCTTGAGGGATAGGTGAGACTCGACCTCCTCTACGGTTGTCTTGAACACTTAGAAGTCCTCTTTGGTTTTGATGTTGCTGCATCATTTGAGGAGGTGCTTCTTCGACTAATCTTCTCTGCGGGGAGTCATGCTGCGGGTATTGGGGATTAGGTGGCATTGATCCAGCAAAGGCGGATTGTTGAGCTTTGACTTCCGCTCGCTGTCTTGCTGCAGCTTGCTGTTCCTGCTGCTGCTGCTGCTGCTGCTGCAACATTCTGTCCTCAAACGTTTGCTCAAAATGAGGGCTTGGACCCGATGCTTGTTGCTGCTGAGAGTGTGGCGGATAATGAGAGACATGGGCGTAACGAGGATCACGTTGATCATTATTAGGGACAGGTTGATACGCAGGGTGAATACCGTACTGAGGGGCTGCGCTCCTTGGCTGGTCGTAGACATTACCATGTGATGCATAAGATGGTGGTGGTCGCTCATATGTCGGTGGTTCAAACCCAATTCTTTGTTGTTCATGTCCAGGACGTGCCCAAGCTGCTTGTTCGCGGGCATCTGGTTGACGACCATAGATTTGGGGATGATTTCGTTGAGACATCTGGTGTGGGTACTCTCCGTGTATACCAGGTCGTGCCTGTTCCTGCATGGCCATAGCTTGCTCCCGCTCCGAAGCAGACCTTTCCCTCTCCCTCTCCCTCTCCCTCTCCCTGTGATTTAACATCATGGCTGCTGCTGCTGCTGATTCCCTCTCCGCCCTATCTCTCTCTCGCTCTCGCTCCCTCTCTCGTTCTCTGTCGATGTGCTCGAAGACCGGGTCATGTCTACTACTGAAACCACTGGGTCTTTGATGGATTGGCTCTCCTCTAGTTAAAGTCTCCATCCCTCGAGGGTCTTGCTCTACTCTCCTACCACCAAGTTGTGGTTCACCATGAAACGTAGAACGATCTCCAGGGCGAGACGTCGAAGAGTGATATGTCATTGGCTGGCTGTTTGGTCGCGGAGGCATGTTCATGTTGCTACCTCTCATGCCTTGCGAGTCGCGCCGATCGTCTGGATGCTGGGCGATTGGATTCTGAGAGGGTCTGTGACCGTAATGTTGAGGAGTAGCGTGTCGGTGATCAGGCGTTCCATATTGTCCAGCACCTGGTGGTGATCCTGCAGAATTCGCCCGGTGATCTCGATGTTCATACCGTGAATCGGGGGTCCGAGGACGTCCAAAAGATGTATAGTCATTTGCCGCTGAGCTGACGCGCGGTGACGCATGCGTCGCACTACCATACATCGGAGGTGGTGCCGATGTAGTGATTGGGGACGTGTACTGGTTTGGCATCTGTTCACGAGTAGTCGGCGCTGGGCCTCCCAGTAATGATGAAATGGACATGTTACTTCCAGCAGTGCTAGGTGGTCTATTCAAAGGCGGTGGCAACTCTCGGCCACTTGGAAATCCGACCGGAGGCCCAACCGACACTGAAGGTCCTCGAGGATGCGGTGGTCCATACCCGTGTTGGATGGGTCCTTGGTGTTGTTGTTGTTGCGGCGAAGATGGTGGAGGCATACCGCGTCCTACCGGAGTCGAATGCCCAATCGAGGAAGAGCTCGGGTGCCTTGAATGACCTCCCCCATGCAACGGTGGTCCTTCTTGATAACGCGGTTGAAAGTATTGACCATCAGAAGTTCTTCGTTGATGATCCGGGTATGAAGGCTGGCCACTCGGTGGATGCGACGACGGGGGATATTGTGAAGGTTGTCCGTTTGGCGCAGGTGGAAACGTAGAACGGGCGTATGGAGAGGCCGTGTTCGTATTCCGCGAGAACGGTAACTGTGGTGGTCGACCTTCCATGACGAGAGGGTTGTCTTTATCTATGTGTTGTGGAGGCTGGGAGCTGTTGGCTATTCGAGTTCTGGTTCAAAGGTGGAAAAGGTGGAAGGGATCGAGAGAGTTCTAGGTCCGAACTAAATAAGGAAACCCACAGGGTTAGTGCCGGTAATTGTCATCTCCTCTCAAGGGGCGAAGCTAGTGAATATGCCACTTACGATCTTGAATCCAGGAGGACTGACGAGGGTATCGAACCTGGATTGACTAACAAACAATGAACCCCGCCAATCAAGTACTCGTGGTGAATTCGCAAAGACGTATTTGTTGAGATCTGCGAGTTAAACGGATGAATATTGTGCTACAGATAACGGTAAAAGGGGAATTATGGCGCAGGGACTTTTCGTGGTGGAGGGTGTTCAAGAGGAGGAAGACTTTTGAGGGTATCCAAAATAAAATGAAATGAAGCCAAATACCAAACAATCCGATATCGATCGCGTTTATTAAAAGTCAGTAGTAGAGTATTCATCCAGCGTAAGATAAAGCATGTTAATATTTGAGTGAATTATAGTCGAGATGTGAAAAAGCGAAGGGTGATCTTCCTCTCCAGTGATGATGATGAAGGATGCTTGTTGATTTGGAGTTGGTGAAGTGAAGTTCGATTTAGAAACCCAAGATCTCGGTGTACAAGAATCTTTCTTTTCCATGAAGCTTTGATGATGAAAGTCCAAACTAGTTTAATCGATTTTAGTTTGAGTTTTAGCTTTTAGTTTCCTTTTTCTGAGCAATTAGCGTCGACTGGTGGTCTTACTCAATTAGTGAATAATGGAGAAAAGCAAGTCTGCAGATACCAGGATGAACTCACTAATGATCACTTGGAGCTAGGGACTAGGTAAGCATTGACCATTCCGAAATGGGACAAGCGGGAAACCCCGGAGGAGCGTTTGCATGTATTTCTATGAATCAGTCGACGGGGATTTCCACCTTTTGACTTTTTGTCCAGAATATGATGCCTGCTGAGCTCCTGACACCTGTAAGCAAAAGGGAAGCTAAGAGGGGACGCTAGACTGTGATGGGATTAGACTTGAGCTTAAATCCTCAAAATGGGGTAAGAAAAGAAGGCACTAGGATTAAATAAATTGATTTGTTTTTTGGGGTGGTTGTTGTTTGGAAGGTTTCTATGGAGGAGAGAATTATTAAGTATGTACGATACGATAGAGATGATTAAGGATTGATTACGAGTAGAGATTTAATGGAGATTAGAGATTTAATAGAGATTTACTATCCATTAGAGTACTAGCCTAGTATCTGTCTCTCATCTCTCAATCAAGGTAACCTACTTGGGTAGCTTGTGAAGGATATTGCATTTACCACCTTGGCATTTCCTACCCAGGTCCCCCAGACAGGCAGGTATCCCTTCCCATATGTTTCTTGACCGCACATACCCGTGATGTTGACACACACACTGCTCTGTATATTATCTACACTGCACCTGCGCTCACCCCCTTACAGCTTATCTCCCCCGGTACTTTGGAGTTGCAGCTTACATCCTTTCTTCACTTGACCATAGAAGAAGTTGGATATACCTACTCGGCAGGAAGAATAGCTTGATGTGTATGTAACCTCACTTGGAAAGGACATCGCTTGAAAAGGACATCACTTGAAAAGGACATCACTTGAAAAGGACATCACTTGAAAAGGACATCACTTGAAAAGGACATCACTTGAAAAGGACATCACTTGAAAAGGACATCACTTGAAAAGGACATCACTTGAAAAGGACATCACTTGACAAAGGTAATATAAGGAACTCTCTGAATTCCAACATGAAACACTACGAGCCATTTAACTGCTATGCGACGACGATGTGACGACTACTTCTCCTTGTCAATCTGTCAAATGTACTCAATAGTAAATGACTACCTAGGTAGATACGTGAAAACAACCATCCAAGATACTACTAGGTACGTATACCAAATGTCTTCCAGTCATTCAAATTCCCATCTCTACCAATCACCTCCTCGGTAATCAAGAATCACCTAATGATTATCAAATCAATCTCCCACCGATCGTGCCAACCAAAACCTAAATCTACTCCAGCATGCAAGCCAAGTACCCGCTCACTATTCCCTTCCAATAAAGCGCGTCATCAATCGTCCCCTCACCATTATGTACATGAAACTCTGAAACACATATCAGCAAACAACACTGCATACATATATACCTACTACATATATATATACCTACATACATAATACATACAATACATACGATACATACTCATACCTGCGATACAAACACACAACACCATTCCCCCTCATTCATCCTTTCCCCTCCCCTCCAGAAGGAAAAGGAAAAAGACATCTCAACAATCCATGATCCCCCTTTCTTCCCACTTTCCTTACCCGAGCAGTGAATCAGTGAATCAGTGAATATCTCACATTCACTACTAGCTAATCAGTAGACCAAGATGACAACTTGGTTCCTGGATATTCAATGTGTTCGCTAAGGGTCGAGTGAATGTCTTGATTCCAGCCACGTTCTATGAGCAAGAGCCACCTGCATCCATGGATCCCAAAAGTTCTTTGTGGGTGAAGAAAGTGAATTTGCATTGTGGTGATATGATCCATATATATGATATGTCATGATATGATATGTCATGATATCATTTACCAGATGGAAGTTTGACCTCGGTTTTCGGAGTTTAGGGTTAAAGCCGTGAGTTTGCAGTCATCTTAATTTGGACATGAAGAAAGGAAAGAAAATGGGGAATGAGAATAAATACTAGCTATCATCATCATCATCATCATCAATCTGGACTTCTCACCACCCAAAGACAATACGGACGGAAAATGTGGAATTCCCGATCATGTACCGGTACCTGAACATGCCACGCTTACCCTTGCACACTCATCCGCCCATTCCTATTAAGAATTGAGACCATGATCACAGCTTTCCAAGGTTCCTTAGGTAATTACTAGGGAGATACGACACTCCGTAGATATTACCAGGTAGATAGATACCTTATCGCTCCCTTATCCACCAAACTTCAAAGACATTCAATGTGAGACCTTAATCAGCAAGCATCACAACCACATCTTGGTTTGCTGGTACATATCCAATTTCAACATTTCATATTTCATTTCTCAATGATACTCGACATGACATGAGATATCTATCATCCAACGGCAATGAACAGATCTTCCTCATCTACCGGTCTATCGCTTCCACTTCCCGGCTCCCCAGGATCTTCATGGGCCATGTATCGAGCTAGATTTGCCGCTATTTTTCACGGCGCAGATACGTCGGTTTTGATCGCGTTTTGGTTGTTTGGTAGGTAATCATGCTTGCATTTGCGCACGGCAGACGGAGTCGCACAAACGATTCTTGGGCTGATGGGTCTACAGGTCTGATCAATAATGTTTTGTATGTGATTATTTTGTCGGCGGCCTTGGATTTGGTTGGTAGGTTTGAGTTGCTTCCCCTTTTTCACTCGATGCGCAATCGGAACTTTATACCTGGATGTTTGGGATTGCAGGGTGTTTTCAGTCGCTAACCTTTTGTATAACAGGTCCTGATATTCCGAAATCTGTCGTTTTACTCGCAGATGTCCTACCTTCTTTCGTAACGAAACTCGTCGCTCCTTACTTCATTCATAAGATTCCTTACTGGATACGCATCATCGTCTTCTGCTCCTTATCCTCGGGGGGCATGCTCCTCATTGCATTAACTCCCGACGACAAATCTGTATCGACAAAATTATTCGGTGTAATACTTGCGAGTCTCAGTAGTGGTGGTGGAGAATTAAGTTTCTTGGGTCTCACGCATTACTATGGGCATTTCAGTCTGGCAGCATGGGGAAGTGGAACAGGAGGGGCAGGCTTAGCAGGAGCTGGATTATATGTTCTTTTGACAACTATCATTGGACTATCTGTCAAGATCAGTCTTCTAGCTTCTGCTTTTTTGCCTTGTATAATGCTTCTCTCTTTCTTCGTTATACTACCTCAAGGACCATTGAGGAGAGCATCTCTAAGGAAAGATTACAACACACTCCCTGGAGAAGATTCGCTTAATCAACCTCTCACGAGTTCAGATATCGATGATCTACCACCTGATTCAGCAGCGGCTTCTCTACTCGCACCTGGTCCGGCCATCGCATCAGAAGCCTACTCCTCACACTCTCCCCGGCCCTCTTCTCCGGGATTATCTCATCATGAACCGAAATCGACTTTCCTCTATAATCTCCACCGCGCCTCCTCTCTTTTCTTTCCCTACATGCTTCCTCTCCTCCTCGTTTACATAGCCGAATATACCATTAACCAAGGCGTCTCTCCTACTCTGCTCTACCCTACCCCTTCTTCGGGAAATCCCTTTTCTCACTACCGCTCCTTCTATCCCACGTATGGATTTATCTACCAGCTCGGCGGTTTCATTTCACGCTCCTCTACACCTTTTTACCGAATCCACAATCTCTATATCCCGTCATTCCTCCAGATTGCAAATCTTTTCCTCCTCATTTCGCAGGCGTTGTGGTTTTGGATCCCAAGTGTGTATCTCATCTTTGTGGTGATTTTCTGGGAGGGACTTCTCGGCGGAGCGGTGTATGTAAATACTTTTGCGGAGATTATGGAGAAGGTAGGAGAGGCCGACAGAGAGTTTAGTTTGGGGGCCACGAGTGTGAGTGATAGTGGGGGGATATGTATAGCAGGGTTTGTGGGGATGGTTCTGGAGGTGAGTTTATGTGAGTGGCAGGTTGAGAGGGGGGAGGGGGTGGTTGAGGATGACTTAGTGGGGAAAGGGGAGAAAGGGGGGAGATGATTAGATTGATAGAGGAGAGGGTTAGAGAAGAGGGTGATGGGTATGGGAGTGGACATGGAAAGAACTAATGATGAGGGGGTCACCGGGAGTCACCGGCGTTGGGAATTTTTCGTTTTATATCACGCATGCATACATAGATAAATACCTTTCACTTTGAAATTTTGTCCCTCGTTCCAATTTGTTTCATGAATTCGTCTTGATTTCTATCTTCCTACTTTAATTCTACATACCCCTTACTTATATCTAACCTACTAGAAGCGTAGTACTCACTCACTCACTCACTTTCCTGATATTAAGCTCATTCGTTATCAGTTGGTTATGAGGATTCATTACCCCTCTCCCTTCTGTCCTCTGTCCGCAATATGCAATATACAATGTTCTATAATCGTCTCTCTGGTTTCCTTCTCTGGGTTTCCTTCCCTTCTCTGGGGTTCCTCTCTCTTTTGATTTTCTTGGTTGGATTTTCTTGATTGGATTTTCTTGCTTGTTAAGGGGTTGTCGAAGATATCTTATCTTCTTGACTTGTTTGATTTAATCCAATTTGATTCGTTTCAATTCGTTTCATTTTGTTTGTATCGAAGCGGAGAGGGGGAAGAGGGGAGGGGAGGGATTTCGATTAATGTAATGGTGATGGCGATGGGGGTTTTGGAGGGAGGGAGGAGGGGGGTAAAAGAATATAGGTATGTGAGATGAGATGGATGGGATGAATGAGTCTCTGGGCTTCTTTCTCGGTTTGATGATGAAGGTGTGGGAGTATGAGGGTATGGGGTAAGTATAGATAAGTAGGTAGGTAGATAAATAAATAAATAAATAGAAGATAAATAGATATATAGATATATAAATATAGATTAGATATATAAATAGATAAGGGATATATAAATAGATGAGAAATAGATATATAAATAGATAAGGGATATATAAATAGATGAGAAATAGATATATAAATATATATAGATATATCGATAAATGAAAAAATATAAATATATAAAATATATAGATAGATATATAAATAAGAAATCTATAGAGATATCTAACTAAGAGATATAGATCATATAAATAAAAGATATATCGATATATAAATAAGAGATATAAAACTATAGATGAAAGATATATAGATAAGAGAAATAGATAGATGTATAGGAGATAGAATGAAGTGAAATTTTTTATGGAATGGATCTGGGTAGGTGGGTGGGTACTTGAGTGACCTTGATCTTTAGCTGGATATGTGATTTGGTGATGGGGGGTTTGAGGGGTTTGAGGGGGCAGAAAGGGGGATAGGATAGTTGTGTTGTTAGTGGTTCTTGAGTTGGGATTGAAGATTTGGAGATTTGGGGTGGGAGGTTTATGAATGGGTGAGCGGGTGTGGTGTGACGATTGGGTGTGGGAATCGGTTTGATGATGATGATGGTGATTTGACAATAGGAGAGGAGACGGTGGATCTGTGTATTATATTCTACTTGTGGATGAAAATTTGTTGAGAAGTGGTTATTGAGTATTGGATATCAGAATCCACCTCGTCTCGAGCTCGCCCTCATCTCAGATTTGGGACGTTGGAAGCGAAGGGTGAGCGCGAGGGTATAAGGCGGAACTTTAGTTGAGGATCTGTGATGAGGATGATGTTGATGGATAAAAGAGATATCCATCCATTTTGATGTGTGAGATTTAGATGGCAATATTGTTCATCGTTTTGATGTATAGAGAAGCGATGTTGGTTGATTGTAGTTTCACGAATTGTGCTGCAAACTTGCAGATACATAATGCTTATTACATAAATGGTAGCGATGAGAGTTGGTGTCTCGACTGGAATATTCTTCTTCATTGATGTCAAAACATTGGGATGGTTCGCTAGAAGTGGTGCTGGTGGTGTTCTGGTATCCATACACGAACACAACCATACAACGCAAACCTCAAAACCAAACAAAACATGGGGATAAATTCCTTTTCCATCTCGATTACTAAGCATCCAACTATCATGCACCACCATGTTAGCAGAGCAGAGGCTTAGATGTGATTAAAATCCCCATCATACATGTTGTCCACCTAGAGTTACACTCCACATATCCATCCGCCCAAACCAAATGTTAGTTCTCCAACCATATCGCCAATCGAACTGTAGTAAAAAAGGGGGATGAGGTCAGATTCATGAAAAAGACTCAAAAGTGTGATGTGAGAAACTAATAATAGTTTCTCCATCCCTGTGCCTCAGCCTTTAGATCTACAGCCCCCAGCCATTCTAGAATACATGGCACCTATCAGAAAAGTCGATAAGCAAATGTCATATGTAACATCCAGTTCGATTGCATCCGTGGGTGCGGTGCGGGCGGCGCTGCTTGGACAGATGCGATGAAACGACTATGTTGATAAATAAAAGTGTAGGTGAGGCAACATAACGGTAGGTAATTGATAATTGTCATCTTATATTTTAACTTTCACTCTCCTTTTTTTGGTCGTGCTTTCTTATCCTTTCTTTCTCTCTTAATCTTTCTCTTCCCCTCTGTTATTTGTTCATCGCATTCGAGAATTATCAAAACCCTCACATATTACGATATTCACAATGCGTTCAACGTTTCTACTTCTCGCAGGCGCAATTACATGTATGCGATCAGCATGTGAAGCTGCTTATGTACCCGGCGCAGCTTTTGATCGATTCTTTACTATCTGGCTCGAAAATCAAGTGCGTTTTTATCCTCTCCCCCCATTTCCCCCTTTAAACCCCTCAAATCCCTAACCTCATTCATTCTAGGATGACTCAAAAGTCGAAGCCAATGCGGATATCCTCAATCTCACCAAACAAGGCATTCTCCTTGAAAATTACTACGGACTGACCCATCCCTCTCAGCCAAACTATATCGCATCAGTCGGCGGCGACTTTTTCGGTCTCAATCATGATGAATTTGTACGCATACCGCACAATGTGACGACAGTGGTGGATCTATTTGAAGATGCGGGAATTACTTGGAAGGGGTATTTTGAGGGAATGCCAGGACCGGGATATATGGGAGAGGGAAGTACTGCACAGGATGGGAAGGGATGGGATTATGTTAGGAAAACATAAGTGAGTTTTATACCCGAATTACTCTCAATTGAATAGTCTGCCTCCACGGCAGTGGCCCTCGGAGAGCCAGCGGAGCGTCATTCTCTTTAGGGAAATGATCAAAAAACCAATGCTAATATGATTGAATAGTCCTTTTGTCAGTTACGATAGTATAAACACAAACGGTACACGACTTCAAAATCTCCTCTCCTTGGACGACTTTTCCACGACCGTTAAAAGCGATCCATCCTCTTTACCACAATATGCACACATATCCCCCGACATGTTGAATGATGGACATAATACCTCTCTAGCATATGCAGCCAATTGGACGCGATCATTTCTCACTCCTCTTCTTCAGAATGAAGCATTTATGAATAATACTCTCATTCTCCTCACTTATGACGAATCAGAAACCTATTCCAAACCAAATCGAATATATTCCGTACTTTTAGGTGGTGCTGTTCCAGCAGATAAAAAAGGAACTGTTGATACAACCATTTATTCACATTACAGTATCCTTTCCACCTTAGAAAACAATTGGGGTCTCCCTAATTTGGGTCGTTACGATGTTGGCGCCAACGTCTTTGATCTTTGCGCTTCGAAAACAAATTATACAAATATAAACCTCAACATGACAATTCTTAATAACTCTCTATCATACCCTGGATTCTTAAACAACGATCCCGCAAAATGGGCACCAGTCCCCGTCCCGAATCTTCAATTAATAGGCGCAGGCGGAAAAGGTGTAGATGATTACACACATGCTGAATGGGTTAGTGCTAAATCAGAAAAAACCCCCTATGATGGAAGCGGAGAATTCTTTGATGGTGGAAACGGAGTAACTGATGAGCGAAAACCGGTATATGCAACGCAAGGAGCGAATGTGGTAGCTACCGCCACAGTAGCACAGCCATATAGCGCGACTGCAACGCCTACTAGTGCCAGCACAACCATGACTAGTGCGAGTGCATCGGCGAGCGCGACAAAGGGGAGTGGAGCGGAGAGGAGTAGAAGTATGGGAATGGGATGTGGGAAGGAGGTTTTGGGATTGTGGGTTGCGTTGGTTTTTGCGATTGTGGTTTTATAGATTTGATTTGATTTGAGTTTTGGGGGTTGTTAGATGGTTTGGGGTGGGGCTATGTATGTATGTATATTAGAGGAGTTTTGGGGTGTATATTTAGGGATGTGTTATGATGGATGGGTAGATACCAATGGGAGAATAAATGGAATTTAAGGTTGGTTTTTGAAGGTTGATCTTGCAATCTTGATCTTTGAATCAGGACTCGGTCTAATCTTGATCTTGGAATCTAATTAGCAAGTGATTCTTTTCCCTCGGTCGTCGAAGTTTGTGATTTGTATCTTGTCTTGTCTTGTTTTATGGTTCTGTGGTTTTGTAGCTCTATGGCTCTGTAGTTATGTAGTTCTATTTGCTAGCGCAAATATTTCCCTTTCGTAACGATTTTTTTGAGATGATTTTCTCAAATCGCATATTGTGAGTTGTCGAGGTTTTATAGGTCTTCCTTTTAGGGCCCTGGGGGTATCCCTTGTGGAGAGTAACGCTTCTGGAGAATATCTCGTTTCGAAACAGAATAGAGAGAGAGACACACTAGGAGTGAGCATCTCAACTGTTTCGATCTTGAGTGAGATTACTGAGTAGATCGATCCATGGAAAATCTTATTCTTATTCTTGTTCTTGAGATTTGTATAGGTGGATAGGTAGGTAGGGTCACTTTCTTTCCTTCTTTATTTAGGGTCTTTAGAGTCTTTAGAGTCTTTAGGGTCTTTGATTCTTTAGGCTCTTTAATTCGTGTCTTCTCAGAGTCGTGAGTCTATAGACTCTGTATGTATAGGTATATAATGCATCGAGATAGATAGATGATTCTTGATCCGCTTTGTAATTCTCTGATTACTTATTATTATATTCATCGGGTTGAATAGATAGATAGTAAGACTGACCTCAGTAGATGGATAATCGCGAGCGATCGTCTTTCTTGTCCGTAAGGATTGGATTCTAGAGGTTGGTATGGTATATAGTAGTAGGTAGATGTAGTAGGTAGATATCTATCTATATGCTTGTTCGTTCGTATTCTCGAGCTTGGTGCTTGGTGTATGTAGTAGTGCTATTATTTTCTATAGCTGGATATTCAGGTAGGTGGGTAGGTAGTCGAGGTTTTCGTGTATTGTTATGAGATGGATTGGATTGTTGTATGGTTGAATGGTTGAATGATATGATTTGTGGATTCGTATATTCGTATATTCGCGTGAGTTGATTAAGCTTTATCATTCGTGTTGAGCTTTGTTATTCGTAGATTCTTTTTGAGGTAGAGTTGGAATATACATGCCTAAGTAGGTTGATAGTTCTTGAGTTTCCTGAGTCTTTGATTGAGTCTTCTTCTTGATGATTTGATTGTTGATTGTTGGGCGGTTAGTGTTTGGCGTTAGGCGTTAGGCGTTGGGCGTTTGGTTTCTGTATTCTGTATTCTGTATTCTGTACGCAGTAATAAAATCTAGGCGTGGTAAGAAGTTATATTCGTAGTCTTGGTAAGACAAGGTGCCTAGTCACGATAGGTGTTTGTTAATTGGGGAGTATAGTACTAAGTACTTGGTAGATTGTCGCTTGTCTATAACTTTATAGACTACTTAATAGTTTAAGCTTGCTTATACGCTTTGGTTTTCGTTTCGTATTTCGTCGTTTGTCGTAGTTCGCTGGGTTGAGATTTAATTTCTGAGATTCGAGTGTTCGTATAAGTATATATAAGATTCGTAGCTTATATATAGTTTATAGGTCGTAGCTTGTAGATAGCTTATATAGATTAATAATCTCTTGATTAATTTTCTATAGTTCTTCTATAGTTCTCGTAGTTTTCTACTCGTCGATTAGTTTTCTATTAGGAGAAAACCTATAGTCTCTCGAATAATCTTTATTCTTCTCGTCGTTATTCTCGTTATTCTCGTTATTCTCGTTATTCTCGTTATTCTCGTTATTCTCGTTATTCTCGTTATTCTCGTTATTCTCGTTATTCTCGTTATTCTCGTTATTCTCGTTATTCTCGTTATTTCGTTATTTCGTTATCGTCGACTAGTCTTTTATTAGGAAAATATCGATGTTTTCCTAATAATTCGGAATCTTACTTCTGAAATAATATCTTCGTAATAATATCTTCGTAATAATATCTTCGTAATAATATTATTAGATAGTTAGGATTTATAACAAGTCGACTTCTTATTCTTTTTTTTCGCTTCGTCTATTCTTTAAGCTTATATCGCTTTTTATATCTTCTTGAGATATTTATTATATCGATCTTTAAGTCGAGTAATCGATTTATTTCGTTATATCCTCTCTTATCTTAGTCTTGAAATATAATCTTTCGATATCTTATCTTAATATCTTTTCGATATCATTTATAGATAGTCTCGTCGGAATTATTATCTCAAGTAGTAGATACCTCTATATTATACTATATATACTCGTAGAATATATTATGTATACTCATAGTAATATACAATATAATATAGAAGCTGTAGAGCGGGTTTAAGATCGATGATCTCTCTAGTTTATCGATTTTTAGTATCTAGATTACGTAGAAATAGATACTAATAATAGTCGTAGATAAGAGGATTATATTCTTATCGAAATAGGTATTCGGACTTACTCAACCTTGAAGGTTGATGCCGATGATAGTCTGAGCTATTCAATGTATCGTAGGGTTCGTATCGATTCTTTAGTCCTGATAGTAATATCTTAGTCGACGATTTTCTTCGTTTTCGATCTCGATATATTATATTCTGATAATATTCGCTTAACAGCGATAGGTATAGGAGACGCCCCTGTTCTAGTCTACTCCTATATTCATAATTAGTAATATCGACTTCTCTCAAACTTATATACTATACTCGATCTAATCCTCATCTTCTGCGATTATCGATCTAGTAAGATTTCCTAATGACTCCCTACTCTTCTTATATTCAGCTTGTTTTCTTTCGATTCGTTGTCGTATAGTTTATCTTCGATTCGTCGTTTCGTTATGGGGTATCCTGTATACCCTGTATACCCAATACGTCTTATCCTGTATGCCCTGTATACCCTATACATCTTGTCTTGTGTACCCTGTATACCTTCCCTATATGCCCTGTATACTCCTCGTTATAGGCTATATAGGTTCTGTAGGTTCTATGTTCCCTGTATTTCTTCTCTCTCTACACCTGTTTCTCCACCTCTTCCTCTGTACTTCTCATTCTTTCCCTCCTCTTCCTCAACTCTACTTTCATCGTCCCCTCCCGTATACCCATAGACATCTTATTTCTAGATTTGCCACGCACAATTACTTTTGTCGAAAAAAATATTTTCCGACAAATCATTTGCACGTATTTTTCTTATTGATTAGACATTTTTTCTCAAGACACTCATACTTGGAGTCTCGAATACTGAGATGTGAATGCTTCACCGGGAGTGACATCTCTGGTTCTGTTACTCACCGGGGAGCAACATCATTAGCCCCATCACTCACCGGTAGTAACATCTTTGATTTTGTGATACACCGGGGAGCAACATCATTAACCCCAGTGCTCACTGGTAGCAAAATCGTTAACCTTAGGGCTAGTTTGAATATAAAATCCATACTGAATCCACTGAAATAATCTGTACTTTGTGCCATTACGGATTCCGCGATAACATCAATCTGCTTCAAAAAAAGCAGATTATTAATCTATGGTTTTATAATTTGAATATCAAATTTACCAAATAATTTATGGTTTTTCTAGAATATTCAATTTAAACTTCAATTCGATATTAAAACCCTATATTTAAAATTGAGAACCATATAAAAAGCTTTAATAGAGTAATAATCTTGAAAAAGTGCTTAAAATTGGAAAAGAAATACATTTTGATTTTATTTTTCTTCTTTCTTTTCTTTTCAAAAAAAAAATCTTTTTTTGAAATATTTTTGAAGCTATTTTCTATATATAAAATTATTTCAATAGCCAATAATATAATCATTACCCAAAATATCTCAAAAGCGTTTAGGAAGTCGAAAATTATTGATAACAATAGCAATCGAAAGTTTATATCTGTACAAAAAAGAGATAGAAAATCTCGAACTCGAAATCCCTCTTCCCCAATTTGTTATTCCAAACAAAAACCCAAATCTACAGCAAAAACAACCGAATTTCAAAGTTAACTTCGAGATTATAATATCTTTTTTCTTTTTTTTAATTAGAGATTTACTATCCAGTTTTTTTTATAATGACGATATTACCTTCAATTAAAAGAAGATATTTTCTACAAAAAAGAAAAGCTATATATAGGTATTTGATTCAAATAAAGTTTATTTTAATTATATTAATTTATAATATATAGCAGGATTCCGAAACCGATGAGAGGCTTTCAACAAATATTGATATAGATAGTGATAAGAATAATAACGACGAGAGGGATGTTGATAATAGCTATAATACTAATCAAGATTTAAAATATAATATCTGTAGTGGTTTAGAAAGTGAAAAGAATCTTTTTATTGATATTATTGAAAGGAAGGATAAATCAGTGGATCCGGAAACTGAGATTGAAGATATTTCGAAGAAATCTATGAATTAGTTTAAATGGAAATCTTATGAAAAGCTTCTTTTAAACTTAATGCAAAGTTATTTATAGAAGACTAATCAACGATCAGATCAATTCACTGAATAGAGAATATTTCATTATAGTTAATTTGTATAAGCTATTGCTTTAGAGCACAAGATATACATTAATAGTAATAAGAATCTAACTAGTAATCAAATTAAAAAGAAAATCAATTTGATATGAACATTCTCTTTTTTTATTATTTATTTGATCTAATTGATTTGATTTAGATCAAGGGATATTATGTAGAGTGTTGGTATTTTCTTAACCTATTTGGTTGGGGTATTAGATTCAATAAAAAGAATGATATTATGCAGTCTTATGTACCTGATTATTTATGGAAAATGCTTTTACAAGTAAGCAAAACTAATAATCAAAAATATTATTGGTATCGAAGTTATTATACAAAAAGCTAATCGATTCTTCAATTTCTATTCGAAATTTGCATAGTTAGTAGTAAATTTGCA